TCCCTTTGTACATGATTGCCCGCTGATTTCGAATTCCGGATGTTATACGTTCATTCACGCTCTACTAAATCTACCTACCTTAAGTTTCACTATTTCGAGAATTCTTAGTACGGTATTTCGAATACTTTTAATCGTCGTATTGGCGTCACGATGGAGTTTAATCTTGAACAGTTGGATATACATCCAAAATCTGAAGCTTCCAAAGAATACATGGATAGGTTCGAGATCTTGAATATTACCAGAAAAGACGTCAAGGATGATAAAATTTTGGTTCATTTCCCAACATTCATCGGAAAGGATACTTGCAGCCCACTAAAAACTTTAACATTTCCAGATAAGCATATTTCACCAACCTATGCAACTCTCAAAGAATTAATAATAAATAACGTAAAATGTACTGGTTTTGAATGCTGTAATGGAGCAAAGTTTCAAAGAATGATCCGTCGAAATAACCAAAAGCTTAGAGAATTTTCCTTGAATCGCAGAAATAAGCTGCCAAATGCAATTTAGCAATGAGCATCGTGTGCAGCCACGAGATCGATTGAGTGCAGTTATTAACATACCTAATCTGTTGTAGTGACCTACTTTTATCGAAAGAACGCGACTGGTATGATGGAAAAAAAATATTATTTCACCAATTGTACCGGGGATTGTCTTACTGTACTTGTTTGTTTAACTGTACTAAAGACACATTCTTCCGTTGCTTGTGACCTTGCACGAACTAACTTTCGCTCAGTAGTTCCACTTGTACTCCTCTGGCACGATCTCTGTATTGTTTCGATACCACGAAATCCCCAACAAATATATCTTGCTACAACCTTCAATCGCCTTCTGATTTCTGGTTTACTCGGAGGTTTCGCCTGTTGTGGTACGCAGCCTTCCTGTAGTGGTGATCATAGACAACCGTGACTGTATGCCACGCTACACTGTAAAGACCGGTCATGCGAATTCTGAAGTGTTCTTCCCCAGATGTTAGAACTACGTGTAATAATCGGAAGACAGTACACGAAACTGACTTCCAGGGCGTCAATAATTTCACTAGATTGCTTAGTTTCCTAATCCAGTGAGTACTCAACGTCATGTGGATGGCAATTTATTAAGGAACTTCAAAGCAAGTCACATAGGTGAGTAAATGTTTGGTAAATTTTTGTCCTGTGGTGAATTCCACTCACTTGATTCATGTGTACTTCTTAATGCTAAATGCTTTACATGTGGTAAAATTGGGGACATACAATCAGTTTGTCAAACTACTGTACATTTCGCCGCAAATAATACAAGACTTTACAAATCGAATCTTATTAATTTAGCGATTCCAGTAACCATATGCTATCCTTATTTAATACTTCTAGTATTTCACTTGACACTCGAAAATGATCATATCTATTCAGTGATGCACCTCACGATTTTAATGTTGAAACTGGCAGTGTTAAGTTCATCATTTCAATCAGGAAAATGAATTAATTAAATTCCGATGCTATAATTATGCCTACCAAAGTTTTATTTTGAGTATTACAAGTCATAAACTTCCTATTTTTGGGTGCCGTAATTCGCTAGTTAGAAACGATAAATTTTCAATATGAACTCGTAAATTCCTCGACGCTGACTGTGGACAATCTGTACACGGTCCGGAAAAGTTAATAGTGCTTCAGATACGGTTTTTATTATTGGTCACCGAAGAAGGTTCTAAATGAAGTGCTTGATGACGGAATAGAAATGCGAAACGTTACTCACGATTCCGAAACCCCTCGTTATGATACACGAGCAAGAAATGTCAAAACTTTGAAAATAATAGTCAGTTCTAGTACTGCTGCGAAGTTAAAAGACCCGGAAAGGAGAGAAAAGAAACTCCATCAGTGCAAAACCACTATACCAAACTCAACGAAACAATGGTGAAATTGCTGGAACAAAAAAACTCTGTAAAATAACTCCTTTTCCACAATCTATAGAAAGTCAGCTAAAACAGATCAGTGAATCTATGGTTCATATGCTAGGCAGTCACGACATCCGAATAAGTTCCAAATACTCATGTGAGCCCGTTCCAACTTTCGATGTTAAGTTTAATACTTATGAGTAAATTCTAGATCATGCAGAGTCTACATCCAATACACAGTCGGAAAGACACAAAATGAACCAAAGGAAAAGAACGACTGATTACATACATTTGGATTCTTATTTAAGCTGTGGCGGGTGTGGTATTTGTACAAATTAACGATTCTTTTGTACTTGATTACCCGCTGACTTCGAACACAATATGTTCATTTGTGCTCACTTAGTTCCACTTAAAAACTCCGCCTGTGGCTCTTTTAAATTTATTGCCGGTCGAAAGCCCGGGTAAAGGAGGAGGGTTGAGCATGAGGTTATCGACCCCATCTCGTAGAAAACTAAATCGCTAAAAAACGCTAACCAGAAGTTCCATTTACACCTAATTATACTACTTTGAGACTTCCTATTTGATATTATAGTCGGAATACTTCTAATCGTCATAAAACAGCATTCGGTTTATAGTTTCTAAATTTGCATCAGACTACACTTATTTGTTATACACATCCTTGCATGTTGAATAGACTCCCTCACAAATGCACTACGCTTTCGACCTTCCCATGGAATTACCAGTGAATGTTGTTTATTGCCTCAATACGTGATTGAAGCTCTATCTATCAATGCATTCAAAATAATTCTGGGTTAACTGGAAGACCACTGTCCCTAGGAAATAACACAGGACGCCTTAAGTTCTGTTCTCAACAAACTGAAATCGAGAACAAGCGATTATAAAGCAGTTTGTTGAATACTCGCACTGAAGGGCGGCTTGATCTGAATCTAAGAATGCATACATTTCTGGGTTCACCTCTCTAAAAACATTGCGAAATTGGATCAGGTGCTATGATCCGGAGAGATTTAGATCTTATGCAAACTAAGGACCACATCAAGACAAACTCAACGGATTACATTTAAAGAAGGCTAAGCACTGTGCTAGGTAATCTGATAGTTAATTATCAATAATCTTAGTAATTTGACACGGCATCAACGCTTGATTCTATGTAAATTCGGGTAGAGATCCTCTCGAGTTGAAAGGAGTGATTCCTGGATGTAAATAAATCCCCTAAATGAATATTTCTGCAAGTCCTGGACATTGTTGCTGACCTCGAAATTTTTACTAGACACGCTCTAGTTGATAGTGCTCCGTCAAGTATCTTTACTAGATCACGAGTAGGCTCTCCGTGCTACGTATTCCTTGCAACTGCTAGTCAGCTTAGATCAAACGCTCCTCGACATGTCGGTAGCATTCCAAATGTATATTTGAAACTCTTTGTTTCTGACCTCTGACTTGACAGCGTTTATACTTCCATTGCAAATATATTAGGCGTATAAGTGTTTTCAAACTCCGAATACGTGTGTGATCTTCAGATTTGACAACTTCATTTAATTTAAATCAACTGAGTGACCAATATCTAGCCAGGATAACCCTACCGTGGTAATAGGCTTTACTACTATGGCACTGTATCAATCAAGTGTTTTAATTGGGTGTGTAGTGGCTGTGCTTCGATAATTAATCACCCTCGAACCGTTATCGTATAATCTTCAACGATGTTTGAAATCAGAAGGCAAAAAGAAGCAGCTACTACAGTTTATTTAGTAGATAATGCGGACCAGACAGCAGAGAGGCAAAATGAATGAGCAAGAGAACTACGATTGTAGCAGTAGCAAGTAGTTGTACTTAATGGGTGCAAATGTACATATATATATATATATAGGAAAATGGATGGGTCAGCGAATAGATTAAGCAGTTAATAATGAAGCTAGCAGAATGAATACATGCGTAGGCGCTAAACAATGTTCAAGCATGTGTATGTCATACAAGCATAATAATAAAGATAGTACAACAAGTTGTTATATCATGGATGACTTTGTCCATTAAATAGGTCGACGAAAGACCTTGACTGAACTAAACTCGATTGCACGTGAGTCACTATAGATGAAAAGTGAATCGAGAAAGAAATTTCACTGAAAATTCCTCCACCGAATACAGTAGTTCCGTCAGTCATTAATAATGTTTACGATGTTTGACAAATTTTCAATATCGTATTGTCTCTTCTAATATACAGAACGTTCAACTTCTTGGTCAAACTTCAAAGATGGTTCATTGCCGCTACAAAAACTACCCCCATCATCTGTTTAATCAAATTCATTTACGTATTCCCAAATGTCTCTAAAATCGTGCTTACAACAATTATCTGGTAAACTAGTCGTTAGGTGTGCATGAATGGAGATTCTGTGTAAAGATTTATGAAAGTTTGATTTATCAACGAGTGCGAAGTAACCAACATTCTCTCTCATCCCCCCGTATATTCATTAGATCATCGTTGTAGATGAGGTTAAAATTGATACTAGAGTTATCATTTCCAAATCTAACTTTCATCATATATGTGCTCCGATCTAATGTGTATGGTTGTGTTACACTGACGTATTCATATCAGGCAGTTGTTGCTAGTCGTCACCATACACTAATACTATTGAAAATCTTGGATGTTTGATTGTCGTGATGCGTTTTTGCACTAATCTAGAATATCTGCAACTCCGACCTCAGCATATTGAATAATACTCCTGTTTTTCCCTCAGTGCCGTGAAAATATGAGAGAAAAGTTCCGTTTCTTGATAAAAACTTTGTGACATCCTTGGCAGAATTAAAAAGGCACTTAAATGAATCAGTTATGTATCAGTTACAATGATAATGATTTGTAAAGTGTGTACTCATAAAGTAATGAAACGGAAATCTATTAAAAACCAATCCCACATTCGTCTTAGATTGACGTCTATTATCTTCCACATAAGTCGTATTTGTGATCTCCACATTTCCAGCACAAAAATATTAACACTAATTGAATGGTATTGTCATGAACGCATTGCTTTAAAACCATAATATTTATAACGTTCACTCCGTTTTCGTAGAGTCTTTAATTCAAAAAAACTGTCAGCCGTCTTGTGTTTTAATCACTCAAATTAAAGTTGTGTAGGTGAATTTCGCGTCCTTCCGCGCATGTCAATAATCCTCACTATATATTTGGTTTTCCTTGTTTGTGGGTCTTCCGCGAGGTCGCTCTTCAAATTTCCTGTGTATCAATATAAACGCAAAGCCACAAACGAACAGTTGTTTCAGAAAGTTGCCACAAACTGTAGTGATACTTGCCCACTAGAACACAATAGCTCTTCACTCGAACATACTAAATGTGTTCGTCTTTGTATGAGCAGAAGCTGCTACAACTCACTTTATGGCTTTGATGAACTAGAGGAAGGTGAAATTGACGTCAGATTCTCATCGTTTAAAGGTTGTGTTCTGCAAAAACTGAAAGAGAAGGGTTTTCGTGTAATATAAGTAAGTGTTGTTGGTACCGAACATCATTATAAACTTATTTATCTTCTCGTTTCATGCTAAATACGCATTCGACGTCTATTGTGGTAGTTTAAACAAACAAATCTTTCGTTACCAGCCGAAAAATCTTTATATGAGCTCATCGCCAAAAATGGCAAATATAAGGGCCCATTTTATATAACATGTTAGTGATGTTGAGTGCCGGTATACCGGCATGAAATTTACAGATTTCATAGATACCTAATAATATCACTTGGTAAGGTTTGTCAAAATTATTTGACGTTTCTATGTGTGATTATAATTTATGGACAACCTTTGATGGACACCAAAGTGACTGTAAGAATGATTAGTGTTATGCATTTGCATTGGGACTTACAGTCGAACGTCAGGGTTAGGAATTAGATTCGGACTTTTCGTCACCAACTGACACCACCTATATTGCCGAAATGCTATTTATCCAGTATTAATAAATAGATTTCTCGCCGAAATCAACAACCTGTTGTCTTAAATCTGATTGGTTCTACCATAAATCATATTATCGCCTAGTTCTAAAACGACATTTAAATAAGGATAGCTGGTAAGCAGACCACTTATTTTTTCTTAAATTTTTATTTCAGTTCACTTTCCAGAGAAATGGACAACAAACCTACGTCGATAAGATCATCTTTGCCTACTGCTACTAATTCGACAGTTAACTATCATGAAGTATTCAGTGAGTTGGTTCCGGTGCTGACTCAGTGTTTTGGTGTAATTCTCTTGGGTTATATCGCTGGCCTCCTGAAAATTTTTTCAGAACCCCAAGCTAAGGGACTTAACCTCTATGTCACTAGATTCGCTTTGCCCATTGTATTTTTTCGCGTAAGTTTTCTCATGATTTGCCAGTTATTATTTTTTAGTGCCACGAGGGCTTTTCTATTGGTTGACTCACTACTGATTGATTGGTGCATCCTAATGCTCATCTAGTTGAGTATTTGAAAATTAAATATTTGTGCATTCACTTCCTCATATTTCATAAAATACATCATTTTCTAAAGGTATACTTTATTACGCTACACAACTGTCACGACTTAGTCCTAATCTATAAAATTAGTGTCATAAGAAGTGCAATATTTGTTCTTGTCCTAATTACATTGGTAAATTGCAATAATCGAAAGTGAGAATATAGTATGACCAACATGATCAACAGAAAACTATTTCAGCATAAAGGTATTACTTCGCACATTTTTCCATATTGGTACATACCTCTCAGAAAAGGCTAGTCAACTTAAAAATTCAATGGGGTATGTTCCTTTTTTGTCATTGTAACAGTTCCATATATTGTAGTCATTTCATCCCACCACAATATTTGTATTACTGGATAGAAATTGTTTGCATCTTTTTATACTCTAGTTCCAGCTAACTTTAATCAGCTGATCAACGTAAGTGAGTAGTTATAAACTATAAGCTCACAAATTTAAAAACCAGTTCACTGACGTAATCATTCCCTCAGTGCATACACAAACGTAACTAAGATTACAACTAGCATTATACTTGTAAGCCAAATATTCAGGGTCACCATTATTCTGATATTTCTAGGTGTAATTTTAATGTATGGTTTCTATATACAAATGTTTCGTGATAACTTACATAAATTTAACAAAATATGTCAGAACATCATGAAATTATTTCACTGCTAATGAATTTTTGTATTCACTTAACCGGGGCGGATTTCTTCTTTGATCATGAAGGGATAGATTTTTAGTGAAAAATATCTCGTTTTATAAATGTAGTTGTCAAGCCGTACAGTTTCATTTATGCTCTGATGTAGTTTAGTATAATAGAGTTTTATCTAAAATTATTATATGGTTGAAACCTATTTTTAGAAAGGGAGACAATCATCAGTTTTGAAAGGTCAGCTGTTGAATGTATATTCAGAAGAGTTGTGAAAGTAACGTAGAAAATACTTGAGGGGAAAAACCGGCAAAGTGAGGAAAACATGATTTGAGATATGTGGTTGCAATTCACCTTCCAGAACACCCTGTCTCTGTCATTTTGTTTTATCCTTTTTAATAATTTTCACTGCTAGAAGATAGGCGCAGGCTCAAAATTTTTGTTAATAGGTGTCTCCGAATCATTTATTGTGTTTTGTGATGCCAACGGGTGTGCAATATAGGGGTTAGGCATATAGTACTTAGGAAACGTGATATCGGTCGACAGTTTTAAATCTTCATTGAATGAGGTGGTTGGGACTTATATTACATTTGCCTAACCGCTGCCTACCTCGACGACTGATGCTTGGTAGTGCAGAAGTAGGCTGTGAAAGAGCTAGGAGTTATCAAGTCAAAATGTAGCATCAATCCATGAAGTTGCTGACTGTTTGTCCGAGCCATGTAGATGGATACAAATTACCCGGTTGAGATCCGCGTATTAATTGTCACCGGTGGCTTCAAATTTTGATCTCAGTAGCTTAGAGTTGTTTGCAATGGCCAAGATGCATTTTGTTTTTATCTCTTTGATCTTGAATTTCAATATCCCCTCGTACTTGCGTTACTACTTCGCCTTCTCGTGACAGGGATGTTGTTTACGGAATTGAGAGGACGACAAGCGAATGTCCGGCGCTTTAACCGGGTTAGTGGATGCGGAGAATCCACCTAGGGGATTTGAAAAACCCTGATTACAAACCAATGGTGCACATGGACTCCAGGATTCTAAGGAAACAAATGGCGTATGCACTCATTGTTGGTCACCAGTTACCATGGGACTGCATCTCCTTACGATGTTCCATTGCCTTGTGGATTAGACCTTCAGGTTGAAGGCTCCGGGTGTGGTTCCCTAAGAAAACCACCTTCTTTGGTTCGGGCACTCGGGCAGTATCCCATCCCTCATACAAATCTAGTGATTTATGTGGCGCATATCTATTTGGTGCCTCATTTTACCAATGTTTTTATGTTCGAATAAATACATATGTTTTTTAAAACTTTATTTACGAGTTTTAGTCTTTCTGTCATTGCTGCCACATTATTTCAATCCTGTTTTGTATTTTTCTATTATGGAAACTTGGACTTACATTTACTCTAGGCCCCATGTTGATAGTATCTAACTGTTACAGATAAAAATAGAAAAAGTTCGTTCTCTGTCTAGATATTTCTTCATACGATTAAGAATCCATATTCGCTTTTGGGACATTTGTGGTCTCTGTCTTCTCAGTAAGAAAGGGCCTATAATTAGCAAAATATCGAAACAAACGCCTGACAATTAAAATGGGATGGGAAATAGCAAGGGTCTTTGTGGTAGGGGTAGCGAACTCTGAGTTCTTACCTATGAGTCGTGTAGGCTCTCAGGCACGGAACAAATAGTTTCTAAACCCACTTGAATAACTAACAACCATAGGTATTGATCTTTCGACTTACTCCTTCTACTTTGCGAGGTAGACCCTTGAGTTAAAGACCCAAGGAATTAAGGAAATCATTTACTTCGGCTTGGACATCCAAACAGTTCAAAAGCGCTCATACAAATTTTACTAAACTAAGTCGGGAACATAAATAAGTCACTCCTCAAACACCCGATCACACACATTTTGTGATATATACCATAGTGCTCTGCTATACTAATCATGTTTTATCTTATGAACAACTAAAACAGTAATCGATCGATTAATAATCTTGTTTTTCCATTTTTCACTTATAAATCAGCAGTTGGTGTACAGTCACTATTATCTTTCCTTTGTCTGACTGAAAACTTTATTGATTTATTCTAGGCCATGGTAACAATTAATTTTTCTGGTGTCTGTTGGTCTTTCGTCATGGCTATATCTATCAGTAAATTGATCGGTTTTATAATGGCAATTACGTTCACGTATTTAATCAGTCGACGTTTTCATCTGGGCATAGCTGCTATTGTTGCTATGTTTGTATCGCAGACCAATGATGTAGCATTAGCTTATCCTATACGTGAGTTGTTTATAATACTCTCTTTTCCATTAATTAGTAAAATTAACTTGCTTTTGGATATTTAAATGATAACTTTCGTTTTCATATACTCGCTTGTTGATTTTAAAATAGACTTCAAGTGTACCTAATAACGAGTGCTTTAAGTTAAAAAAAAATTAGTCATTTTAATAAGCGAACGTATTTGTATTCGCGTCATTCATGTGGTGAACCATAGTAAGGAACGTCAGATGTTCCAAAATCTATGGTGTCGAGAAAAATATTAGTAGCCACTGATATTGAATAACATCCTTTGAATCATTTTCCGTAAATGGAACCGCAATAACTGTTTTCTTACCCTAGAAATCCTAAGCTTTGTTGGTGATTTTAGTTGAAATTTTATTAATTTTCATCCAGAGACTTGACATTTACAATCATTATAGTTTTAGTCACATATTCCTTGTCTGTAAGATTGCTTCTCTGGATAATTTACTGAAAATTGCTATGTATCATATATGTTAGATAAATCTCTACGGGTAATTGGCTTGTCATATAATTTTCTAATAATTGCACCCAATCAGTCTTAACCAATGTATGACCTGGCTCAGATATGTACCAATCTCAGTTGTCACACTAGATCAACATAATGAAACGAAATTATCAAGACGAATAGCACAAGACTTAAGACAATAGTATTATCATTAATAGTAATAAAGATCAACTTTAGAGAATATGGTCCGGCCAGAAGGAATAAAATAATAAATCTGAATTAACAATGAAGCTCAGCACTCAGAAAAAAAGATGAGAAATAAATACATCTGTATCACTGAGGTTGACTCAGAAGGCCCGATTGGTTTTTACCAACTTGCCTCACTTATGGCGTAAGTGAAATACCCGTTTTCCAACCAATGGGCGAGCTTGCTGCGCAGCAGTTCGCTCTGTTCCATTTTGTGGACGTGAGACATGGCTATGAAGAGTAAAGGATATTCGTGGTTTACTGGTATTCGATCATAGGTGTCTGCGAAACACTACTCGTGTATTTCGGAAACACGGAATAAGCAATGCCTGGGTTAAGAATAGAATACTAGGCAAAGATGGCAAATCTATTGATGAGGTAGTAAATCTTCATAAACTGCGGTGATTTGGATATCTATTACTTATGCTCAGCCACTACCTACCTCGATGAGCGATGTTTTCTGGTGCAGGAACAGACTGGAAAAAGGTTAGGGGCGGCCAAATCAAAACATGGCATCAGTCCATGAAGCCACTGGTAATTGAACTTAGCCATGTTATTAGGCACATACCACCTGGTTGGGATCCTCGTGATTGTCGTAACCAACGGTTAGAGACTTTAGATGAAATGGCTCAAAATCGTTTGCAATAGCACAGGCGCATACACTCTTCGTCTCCCCTCAAATCCTAAAATTTTAAATTCCTCATAACTTTTTCTTGTTTTTATTTCACTAATTTGTATTTTCTTTTCCAGTCGTATCTTCCATACCTAATCTTTCATATTACCTCTGATACTGTTACTACCTCTACTATTTTGAGGTTTGACCTGACAAATTCATCTCTCTGTGCTAATGGCGTATAACAACTTGAACCAATGTACATAAGTACAGGTTCTACGTTGTGACTGACTGAGACCGATTTTGAGATATGCTACTTATAGTCTTCAGCCATCGCTCATGATTATCATGTAAACCTCGACTGGATAATCTGCACCGTCAAACATGGTTCATATCAGCAGTGAGTGACTCAACGGACTGATACTACACCTTGGTTTGATGTCCCCTAATTTTATTTCAACTTATTTCTGCTCCATCCAACACTGAGCATTGTGGTAACTAGTGGTTGTGCACCTGTGACTTATGTCTCAATTACTCAGTCAATGGATAACTTCGTAGCCTCAACATACTTGAAATATTTACCTATGACCCGGCGTTTAATCTCTGCAGTATTACTTACCTAACTGTTCTGCTATATGCCATCAATTATTTGAATATTTTTGTGATGAAATAAGAGTAGCTATGGATATCCTCTACTCTAGAAACGTCCTATATCACATCCCTAAAGTAAGACAGGGGAATAATGTCTAGTATATTCACTGTTTAATAAACAGAGATATCTTTCTTACTCAACAGGTGAGACGATTTGTTAAAATCTAATCAAGTGTTATGTGTTGGTGCCAGGATTTCGCCAGCCACCAGCTCATTAAGGGTGATGAAACTTCGATAACAAATGAAGTGAAAAATGCACTTAACTACTTTCCTAGCACTCCCTTCAGCCTTTCTGGGTGTTGATACAAATCTGTTCTGAATCAACAATTCACATTACTGGTCGATTACATTCTACTGTCATATTTTCATTAAATAACCATCTCTTTGTTTCCCTCTTTTAAATTTTAGTCTATGCTCTTTTCCCTGATTTGGCTAGTTATATTTATTTATTTGCGCCAATCCAACTGATTGTTCTTAATCCATTCGCTTATTTTCTATTGGAGCTAGAACGAGTCAGACTAACTAATAGTGAGCTTAAACCGTTAATTCATAGTGAAGATAGTGATATTGATAGAAGACAATTAATAGATGGTAAAAGCTCGAATTCAGTCCCATCATGTGGTCGATGCCAACAATTGACACAGGTAAGGCTTTTCTATAGAACCAACGCTTTTTTGTATTTAACTACATATATTCAATATTTATTATTGTAATGTAGCTACTTAGAAGTGGTTAAGGAGTTCGGCCTTCTGAACCACTAGTTCACATATTTGAATCCCATTCCACTTACCTTGGTTTTGGCGATCGGGTGTAGTATCACGAACCATCCATGAATATCCAAAGGAAAAATGGTCAAGTGAAGATATATTATGTAGACTATGTCAATTCATGTGGACTAGCAATCAGGTTACCTACACACATTCTTGGAGCATAGACCGCCAACCAGGATCCTCCAACCAACTATCCCAACCTCCCCTTTCTAGTTGTTTCCAAGCTATGTTCATCCTTTTCATATCTGACTCGATTCCCCGACGCAGTATTCTTCGGTCTGTCTCTTTTCCTTTCGCCTTCATGATTCCATGTTAGGGCTTTCCTCGTGATGCAGTTTGGTGATTTCCTGAATATCCTACCAACTTCCAGCATCTTTTCCAGATTTCCTATTCAGTTGGAAGCTCATGGTATCCGACCAACGGATATTAAATATATTGTGCAGACAACTATTTGTAAATGCCTGTACTTTTCTGATGATTGTTGTGGGGATTCTCCAAGTTTCGTCTCCGTACAATAGAACTGACTTGGCCTTGGTATTGAAGATTCTGACTGTGGGGTCAGCCGACAATTGTTTTCACTCCCATATATTCTCTAGTTGTAGGAATAGTGTTCCCCCTTTGCGAATCCTTGTCTTTACATATACATTAGGTCCCCCTTGTTTATTAATGATAATGCCGATACCCATAAAAGTTCCCACCTTTTTCGAAGCCTCTCTATCAAATGCGAACCGGTTGTTGCTCACTGTTGTATTTCAGGATCTTGATTTTCTCCTTGTGTATTTGGAGGCCTTTCGTTGAAAAGGCTGTTGGTACCCTGGGTTTCTTCACCTGCATTTGTTGATGTGTATGGGATAGAAGGACCAAGTCATCTGCGAATTCCGAATCATCGTACTCCACCCATTTTCATTCCTTGCTCCCAGTCCATGTCTTCATACCCGGTGTTGCCCATTCCGACTTTGGCATTTAGGCTGTCCATCAGGATAATCAGGTCCTTTTCTGAGCACTTCGCTATGATCTATTGCAGCCTTCCTTGAAACTGATCTTTATTGTTTTCGTTACTTCCATTAGTGGGTGCATAGCACTGGAAAACATTCATTGTGACCCCCACCTTTGTTTTGAAGGATGCTTTGCTGATCCTAGGTCCATGAGATTCCCATCCTATAAGTTCCTTTTGCGCTCCTTTGGACAGCGTTAGTGCAACTCCCTATGTGTGCAAAGCATTTTCTTGATGACCAGAGTACAACAGCATGCTACCCGAACCACATGTTTTTTGTCCAGCCTGCATCCAATCGGTTTCACTTATTCCGAGCACCACAGTTTTGTGTCTCCTCATTTCTTCAGCTTTCTAACCGATCCTCTCAGTCTCCCACATTGTGCGGACATTCCATGTACCTATATTAATCGTTGCTCTAGTTGTTAGAAAGGGCATCGGCCTCATAACTTCCAACGAATCTCGGTTTTCACCATAAGGCCTCATAATCCTTCTAAATGAAGACTCTTCAAATCCCAAGATACAATGTGAATGGTTTAAATGATTTTTGACAATACTTTTTCCTACTGGATGGGGCTGTTGACCCCATGCCCAACTCTTCTCCTTTATTCGCACTTGGGACCGGCAGTAACCATAGAAGTACTACAGGCCTATTGCCATTTGACTAATTGAATCTATATAATACCAAAGACTGCTCAATACAAAATAGTTTAATAGTCCGTGATTAACTAGTTTGTAAACATCTTAGTCTTATTTGAGGTAATTTGTAGCCCAAAAGGGACGTTTATCATTTTAAAACCGAGCGACACGTAGAAAATTACTCCCTTCAAGGTTAAAACTACTTATTGATAAGTATCAACTCGAATAAAACCTAGATTACCCCCAAACTGCCATGGATATTAATAATTTCAAACAATTTGTGGTACTCAATTAAATTCAGATTGATATGTTACTAAGCTTTGAGGCTTAATTTGATTTATTACAGACATAATCCTACTCCAAAAATTGAATTTCATAAAGTAGACAGCTTAAAAACTGAATACCACTGGTTTAAATACTGGAGTTCCGACTTTTTTTTGTGAATACTAATTGATAGAATGGTATTTGAACTTGTGTGAATTTAAATTCTTCTATCGTTGAAGATTGAAATGGTACAGTGTCTAATGGTGTTCTGAGTGTGATCTATTCTAGATAAATAACAACTATCATTATTGGTTGTTAATTACTCACTAATTTCAGTTGAATATCTTTTAAAATTTTAGCAGTAATGATTTTTTTCAATTAAAGAACTCAAACCCTGTTTGGCATACTGTTTCCATAAATGACTGAGATTTTTTCAGAACTCAGCAACAACTTTCCGTCTACTTTAAACCGTTTTTCTACTGACTTCAAAAACCTTTCTCATTATTAAAAGATTATTTATTTATTTATTTAAACACATAAACATTGGTACAAGGAGGCACCAAACAGATATACTCCACGTAAATCATTCGATTTGTCTAAGGGGCTTGAATACTGCTCGTGTGCCCGATCCAAAGAAGGTGGTTTTCTTGGGGAACCACACCCGGAGCATTTGACCTGAAGGTCTGATCCACAAGGCAGTGAAGCAACTCCAGGAGATACAGTTTCATGGTAGCCGGTGACCAACGATTGGTTCATACGCCATTTGTTCCTTCAGCATACCGGAGCCCATGTGCACCATTGGTTTGGAATCAGGTTTTTCCCAATCCCTTAGGTGAATGCTCCGTATCCACCAACCTGGTTAAAGTTTCGGACATTCGCTTTTCGCCCTCTCAATTTCGTAAACAACACTCGTGGTGCGAGAAAGCAGTGAGTAGGACTTCCCTGAGAGTGGTTGTATGCATGTGGCCATGTGAGAGCATTTGGAGAGGGAGTGCTGACTCTCCACACCCTCGACCGTACCAGGGCAATTGGGGGCTCACCATACTCTTTCTTACTTAATTACAAATACTCGGAATTATTAAATTTTAGATGAATTTCTTTTCAGCTACATTGTGATCAGGTTTATTCAACAAGAAATCTGTTATTTACTGACAAATGAAAGATATTTATGCTTCATTTTTGGATAGATGCTAATTCTCTCCATAAGTTTATTAGTGTATAATTAACTAAAGTTTGTCAATGAACTATTTACAGTGCAATTGTACTGAATACATGTTATCATCATGACTGTTATTATTCTCTTGTAATTTTTGTCTACATGTATCCACTTATTTATTTCTATTCGATAGGTTATGTTCAATGTTCTCAAGAATCCTTTAATTTTCATGACTTTAATTGGTATCATTTTTAATCTTATATTGAAGCACCATTTACCAGTGTATATAAATGGCTTGCTCAGTGTTATAGGTGAGTGTTCCTGTTTTTTTTCTTAATTTACTACTATTTCGGACATTTTATGAGGGTAATTTTTGTTAAAGTAAGATAAAAAATCGAAATTATAGTATCATTGGAAATCAATATTCTATAGATTGTTATTTTTTGGTAGTTTGAAACTCTCCATTAGTATAAGTGCTCACTGGCATAATCCCTTCCTGCCTCACGTGGTATTGAATACAAAACTTTCAGTTCTCATGACAAACACGATATCTTTGAGCCAATCTTATAGCGCATAGGTTTCACGTACTAATTAGTTGTTTGTTATTTCAGTATTGAGTAATATGTGGAGATAAATAGTACCTAGTCATATTAATTGCTATCGGATTGTGTGTTAAATGAATCAGAACTATCTAAGTACAAAACTGTTGTTTCGTTTAAATGCAGGTTGAAATCACCACTGATAGATTTATGAGTATTCATTTTGGAATGAGTAAATTATTCAGTACATCAGCACATCTGGTACATCAAATTGATCAGAGCTGTTTGGATCAGTGATTTAACAATAACATCACTATGGTCAAATTCCCAACTTCATTCAGTTAAACGTCTAAATCTTTTATGTTTTTCAATAATGTACAGATTAAAATTTTAAAAATGTTATACTCATTCAGTAGTAATTCACTTCTGATATTATGAACAAGAATTAAACCTCATAGTTGAATCTTCATTTCACTGACATATGGGTGACCTACGAAATACAATCGCTTCTGTTTCAAATGACCGTTATTCATGTTTTTTATGCTGGTGAGTCATTGAAAATCAAAAAGCACTGGGCAGCTATTTCTTTTTAACTTTGGATTCCTCATCAGTCCGCTCATCATACAACAACTACACTACAAAACTCATAGGATATAAATTCGTGTATTTGGCTTCGAGCCGCACTCTACATATGAGAGCTGATGATAATGGCAGTTGTCCAATTTAAAATAGATGGAAAAAATTTCAAATCTAGTGTTGAATGATTGAAAGTCGTACACTTTTAGCTATTGAGTCACAGCCCCACAAACAGTAGACTGAATCCAGAAAATTTTAAGCCTTCTCGTCAACTGAAATCCAATAGTCCCTACTTTTAAAAAATTCAATCAGTTTATCATGCTTAGTCATCAATATGCTGTCTCGTTTCTATGCTGCCGTCAAGCGAGATGTAAAGAAATTGGCCCAGATCTCTGATTTTCAATAACTAATTTAAAATCTCTATAAAAACCAATTCATTAAATACCAGTTTATGGCAATTTCGACGAGTAATGTCCTAAAGAGAGTAGAACCAACCTCGAAGCATATTTTTAAAAAATCCTCATGTGATTGTAGAGTTTAACTCTAGTTGATTTGTTTTTTTTCATGTCTGTCATCCGTTTCGTTACTGATTGCCAGGGTTTGTTGTATTTTTAATCTTGCATGCAAGCTTGGCCCATTATAAAACATATTTTGTCTCTTTAATGTTCTTTTGAAAGCTGACTCCTTCAGTGCGACTGCTTTATTTTCACTCGGTTATAGTATGGTTGGCAAAATGTCTACTATCACTCAAAGAGAAGTTTACATTTTGACAACAATCCTATTGACAAAACTGTAAGTTCCCTTTCTTCGATGTGTGTCTACTTCCTACGCAGTCTGTAGTAATAGCTTCGGAGGTTCGTGGAAACTGTTTAATTTGAAGTTCGCTCACATAACGAACGGATTTTACCTAGATAATTATTGAAAATAGGGAGTATTGAACGGTTGTTTCGTTCTAGTATCGAACTTTTAATTAGCAGTGTGTATCCATACCCTCAGATCTCACATCGAATGAGTCAATTCTAGATCCCTGAGTCGACAATCAATGTTTCATATTTTCGATTTCAGTTAATTCGTGATATTTAATAAATATAGTCGGTTGTAGTCAATGATGCCTGTCTCACTCTTGAAAAATACCATAGGCCTCTTTTTTCCTCTCCAAAACTACAAGAATTCTATAAATTGGTCACTAGTGAGTAAATGATTAATTAATGCAATTCATTTATCAACTACAGATTAATGCATTTGACATTGAGCCACGTTGTTTATAAGAATTAGTGATACTACCCGAATGCTGAAACTAAAATAAATGAAACATGATTCGGATCTGTAACCTATTTAGTCGAAAGTCGATTACTTTAAATCCACTAAATTATCAACTTTATGTTGGTATCTGGTAAAATATAACGAAATCTCGCGTATTTGTCATTTTCATTACTAATATCACCAGCCTTCGATGTTTACACTTTGACTCCAGTCAAATGAAGTTAGATTAAAATCTGTATTGAAGATAGTTATAATGTGAATTAATAAGTTTTTGCGAATTAGAAACTTTTTATTAAGTTATACTCAGGATACTAAGTAAAGATATCAAATCGGTCGATGAGATATTGCATATTTATCGATTGGTATATTTAGGACATGTATTAAGTATTCTCATCCACTCCTTACCCTGATACTTGGTGATGGCTAGTGTAGAAATAGGTTGGAAGTAAGTTAGGGACGGTCAAATCAAGACGTAGCATCAGTTCATGAAAACGCTGACTGTTGAACTGAGCCATGTAGGTATATAAAAACTAACTACCTGGTTCGAGTCCTCGTGATTATAATAACCAATGGTCGGAGGATTTGAATGACAGTGACTCAGAATCGTTCACAATCGCACAAGTACAACCACTCTTTTTTCTTTCCTAAGTTTCTAAATTACCATCCAGTTTTTTTTTGGTTTCAATAATCCATATTTTCTCCTCGAATCTTATCTTCGATACCTAATCTTTTCTACTATCATATAATGTTACTACCTCTAGTACTCTGAAATTCACCTTGACAGTTTTATCTCATTATGCTAATGAAATGTGACAACTTAAACCGATGTACACATGTACGAAGTTGCACGTTGTATATAACTGATTGACTAAACGATATTTATTAGATTTCTTCTTAGAAAATGAAGTTATTTATACTGATTAGTAAGAAGCTATCATTGTAGAATTCTTCACCAAATTCTAAATTTTAATCATGATAGCCATCTATTTCTCAATTTTATGAATTAAATAATGTCGACACATTCAACGTGCGTTTCTTTCTAGAACCAGCTTACGTATTCACACCTACGGCGGGACTCGAACCCGCAATCTTCTACTTAGGAGGCAGACGCCTTATCCATTAGGCCACATGGGCAGACGTTAATTCGCTGAGATTTTACAAATACACTCTTCTTCTTTAACAGTTTACGTATTGCTACAAACTTTAAAGTAGTTTTTCTAGTTTTAAAAAAAAGATGGTTTACGAAATCACATGTCTAATTTTTTCTCTTTTCTGTTACACTTTAATTTAATAGTTTGATTGTTCCTTTTATTACACGTGAACTTGTTGTTCAAATGATGCCTATTGCATTGGCTAATGAAACATTACGTTATTCTACATTTGGTTTCTTGTATGGTACTACACCGACAGCCCCACCTGTGTTCTTATTTGCTGCTGAATATCAAGTTATACCTGTGGCCGTAAGTTTATATATTATTAAATGTATACTGTCTAATTGTATAAAAATTGCTTTCTGTCATTTTACCGATAGAGTGTAGTTGGTTTTTGAACCTTTTCCTCAATGTCTACTTTCTAATTTAGACAGCTAAGTGATATGACATGGAGACTTGATCAAATTTCTGACCTGTTGTTTTTCCAAACATACATTAATTACTGGCAATTTCCTTGTCTTAAAACTGTCTTCGTACACTATGTTTACCAATCATATATACTTACTGGCTTTCATAAAATGTTGAATATCTATCATGAATCTTATTACTGAGAAATTCATAAGTATCACCATGGTAGTCTGCATATTTTCCTTCTGCGTCGTTTAAAGAAAATTGAAGTAATTACTATAGAATTCATACATTAAATATATTCATTAGATATATTCCAACCATTGGTTACGATCGTCACGCGGACCCCAACCAAGTAGTCTGCATCTACTAACATGGCACAGACTAGATGTTACTGACTTCAAGCAATGATGCCATGTTTTGGTTTGGCCGCCCCTAACTTTCTTCCAACCATTCCCAACACTAGTCAGCATTGCGCGTCGTGGTAGTCGGTGTTGAGGTATACGTAATACGTGGCCCAGCCATCTCAGTCGATGAGGATCCACAACCTCATCAACTGATTTACCATCATTCCGTAATATCCTGCGTTTAACCTCACTGTTACTTACTCGGTGATCCCAGCAGATGCCAGCAATATTTCTAGGGCATCTGTGGTCAAATACTAGTAACTTGTGAATATCTTCTACTCTTAATGGCCACGGTTCGCAGCCGTGAAGTAGAGCAGGACGAACTGCTGCGCAGTGTACTTGTCCCTTAATTGATAGGTTATCTCACATTCGCCATAGGTGACGTAAGTTGGCAAAAGCCAAACGAGCTTTTCGAATCCGTGCTGAGATTTCTTCAAACACCGACCCATTAGGACTGATCAGATTTCAAAGATAAGTGAAGTTGTCTACGCGTTCGACTACTTCACTCCCTATCCTTAGATAAGGTGTTGACGCAGGCCAATCCTGGAGCAACAACTTGCATTTAGAGGGAGAGATACGCATCCCAAGCATCCTGGCATTGTTTCTGAGTGCTACCAAAAGACTGCATTTTATCAGCGTCTTCACCAAACAGGACCATGTCATCTGCGTATTCTAAGTCGATAAGTAAACCTCCTTGAAGGGGATCAATGCTTGAAAATTCAGTCGACGAGAACATTATTTCCGGCAGTAGGTCTATGATGAAGTCGAACAAAAGTGGAGATAGTGGACAACCACCTTACCGGACACCACTTGAGGCTGAAAAATCAGATGAAAGTTCGCCATAAGCTCTGACTCGACTAGTAGTGTTCGAGTAAAGAGCCTAACAGCACTCAAGATCACTATCCCATTAGGAATAATGAAGGAACGAACGAGAAATGAACTACTAACATAAATTATCCGTTTAATTTCGGATATTTTACATAGGCTGACCCTGTTTGGGGATTTCATCTCGAAGCTACTTACTCGTAAGCACTGAACAGATCATTTTACCAATCATACTGATTGATGCAATTGTCTTATATATTACGAGTTTATAGTCCAATGTCTAAACCAAAACGCCGGAATAGAGAAGTAGACCGATAAATTCGAGCAGTCTATGAAGCCAATGAATGTTGAGTTAATCGATGTAAGCTTTGTAGTTGTAATGTAAATTAACCATGCCTTGGATGGACTTGGTGTTTAACTTCACCAAGCTACTATAACTTCATGATTAAGTACCAAGTTCATTTCGCATTAAGCCATTATTATTATTATTATTATTATTATTATTATTATTATTATTATTATTATTATTGTTTTATCCAAGAACGTTATCTAGAAGAGATTAGTGACTCAATTGAATTCTCTCGGTTTACAGCTAATAATCAATCGGATGCATTAATTCTTTTGTCCTATTTACAATTCTTACTTCATAAACTCATTTATCTTGCTCATATAATATTCTCATCGTTAATCCTTTTCGACTACTACTGATACTATTACTACTTCTACAGCTGATATTTGTCTTCATAATTTCATTCCATTTTACTTACACATACTGTGTAGCAACTTGAACCGATCTACAAATTTACCCGATTTTCCATTGCTTAATTCTCCATTTATTACAAATGAAAAGATGAACACAGTAGGAATTAACCACGAATTGAACAGTGTAAAAGTAACTGTTTAACACACACGCACAGAACAACACAGAGTGTTTTTGTATAAAAGTGCATCGATTTATAGATGACAAGAAGAAAAGAACAAAACAACAACAGAATTTAAATGAATTGAAGAGATATTACATTATAGTTTGTCGTCGCTTTATTGAATGAAAATGCACTTTTTTGTACTGTATAGAATGTTGACACAAATGACAAAATAAGAGGTGAAATAATAGAGGGAGAGTAGAGCAATAGTTTATGCCTTTATCATCATACGTAATAAGTATTTTTCTTTTTTTCAATCTTTGTAATGTCTAGCAGATTTCTGTTATCACATGGCTTCGTGATTTGTTTTAGCACTTGGACAAAAGCGTCTCATATTTTCATTTATCCTATTACTCACATGTCTATACACGTATGTATGCTAATACATGTGCGTCTATATGCTTACTGGAATCTCTTTCATGCTTATAAAGACTGAGTCATCCATTATTCATGAAGTTGAGACGTCTGCCCCCTGTAATCCGCTTTTCATCAGTCTCATTGAAATCATGGACCGACCCAAGGTGTGAACCACCACTGAAAACCTGGAAGCACTGAGCGGGCGCCTCTTCTTAGTACGTTACACCTCAGTAGTGTTCATTCACAATCCCGCATTGAGGGGCAAAACCTATGACATTCGACCTCGTGTGCGAACTCTAGACCGCTGAGCCAGCATCCAACAATGTTGTTATCTAATCTCAATCAATGTCGTAGATCCGTGTGTAGTGTGAGGTAGTTACCACCAGAGACAATGGAAGATTGTTGTGTAATATCATGGTTTGATTGAAGTCAAACATTGACATCGATGGATGCTGGCTCAGTGGTCTAGAAGTTAAGTGTTCGTGCGAGACCGGAGGTGCTGTACTCGATTCTCGTGCGCGTGATCGTGAGTACTCAATGATAGGGAATCTAATGCTAGAACGAGGCGAGCGTTCAATGTTTTCAGGTTTTTGATGGTGATTTAACATTGGCTGGTTCATGATTTTAATAAAAAAAGACATTTTATCTCTCTCTATTAAACTCAACTTTGAACCCTGAATTGATTATCTATCTTACATACCACTGTCATTCTCCTTCAAACTTTCAAGTGATCACATAAATATGATCGTATTCAGGCAATCCTGACATCTACGCCTCATAATCCTAAAAGAGTAGCACAGTACTCATGCCTTAACCGTATATTTGTTTTCTGAATGGCTGTTTGATGTACCATTAAGGCCAAATGTATAACTATAGCTTGTCAATTTTAAAGACTCACATTATCCCTGGGAATACAAACTTGCTATTTCCAAGTCATCAAGTCACTGTTACGATGCGGTTGTCCAAAATCACAAAAGTCAATAATAAATAGGGTGAAGTAAATTTTCATCTCATAACCATACAAACTTCCGACTCCATAGTATATTTGTTAACGATTGATACCTAAAGTTACATGACTTCCATTGAGTGTACACTTTAAAGTTCCTATCTCTTTTTTGTCGTTGGTTAAAATTGGTAAACTTTTTTCGTCCATGGTCACTCTAATCATCTGTTATTATTCATTAATTTTTTTTACTTCGCACTATCTAATTATGTGCATGGTTGGGATATACACGTACAGATCGGTGTTGGTCTTGTCTTGGGAACATTCCTATGTGCGCCGATTATGTTTATTTTTGCACGTATTATTACATTGTACAACGCAGAACCAAGTGATTATGCAAGTATACTCGGTACAACTGTTGAAGATATTTCTTGGATTAGTATTGTATGCTGTGTAAGTTTACTAATCAGTTTTGTTTGTATGTTGTCAAAATGGTATTTTACCAATTTTTTATTTGCAGTATTAAGATATACGCCAACTATTTGCAAAAACTGATCTACTTCACGAAAAAGACCACATGTCATTCAGGAAATGCGCAGTGATTTTATTATTACCCATTTCAATAGACATTGAATGATAGTCAATCAGTCATACACAACCTAAATATTGCCAAGGAGAAATGCAGAGCCTAGGAAATTGTTTGTTCAGCATATTTTGTAGGTTTAGGTGAACTGTTCTCAGCGTTCTTCATGAATCGACTGAAGTTATTCGTTCCGTTTTCAGTCTTCAATATACGTGTTGTATCCGGAACCACTTTTACATCGATGAGTGCCGGATATTAGGGTATAATCATCAGTATAAGTCCTTTTTTATGCCCTAACTTTCACCATACTTATGTTTTTCATCCGGAATGTTTGATTGTGCTACACTGACATTTTTATAGCTGACAGTTAAAGACAACTTCACCCTGTTGAAGTGAATACTTTAAGGTAAATCGCACTTCAATATCCGCCACTAGCCCACTAAATAAACAACAAAATGACTGAAATTGTCAGAAACAACACACACCTTAAGGGTTGAAAACGATGGGAATAATTTGAGTTTAAACGTTTTCTATATCTATTTGTATAAACTAACGTATTGTATTTGTTTGTTTTTTAAAGTAAAAACCTCTAACTTGCTTTGACTGTTCATTTTAAAACTAATAGATTTGGACATTGGGCGTACTTTGTGTTAGTCGAAAAGCTATTCGAGTTCCTAATCGATTCACATTATGTCATTTAATTTGTGTGCTATTCACTTGTACTGGATTATTACTTGGTCGTTTCGTAAATTATTATTATTATGGTATTGAAGAAAGTGTAAACGGTTTGTTATACAAATTATTAAATTTTGGAAAATCGTGTTATTGTTTATTGAACAATGACTAGAATATATAACATGTGATACTCATACTTGTAATCGGCTAACTTATAAGCTAGTTGTAGGCATTCGTTGAAATGGAGCTCTGTTTTATCCAGGTGGCTGTTGTCATATAGATATACCTGGAATCTTGAAAGATCTTATGCTACCCATAGGAACTGATCTGGCATCACTCAGTATCACGTTTAGTGACATGATGTGATCAAGAAGTTATTTATATCCTAATCGACCTATAAGACTGAGATATTTGCAGCACTTAGTTGCGAAGTAGTCTCTTAATCTCATGTTTGTGCAGAATTCAGTCACCTCTGGGGATTAGATAAAAATGGTATGACCAGCTAGTGTAAATTGTGTTTTGTCAAAAAATATGAGTATATGCTCGTCTCGTTATTGTTGTGAACCTGGATGGACTAAGTTGGTCCAGGTGTATTATGGATATATCGAAAACCATTGTATTGTGTGTGCTACTTATATTGACATAAGTAGTATGTGATGTTAGTCGTGAACAGATCTGGCAGTAGAGAGACAAGAGGATCGAACAGTAAAGAATGGAAACAGAATGCAATTTGTATGAAAATGCAAGAACAATGAAGTCTGAGTCATTTTGAGACAATTGGTAAAAATTTTGCAAATTAAGCATTTACTTTATGATTGTTAGATTTTATTAACAAGTCCTGTAATTTTGTGTTAAATACATTCGATTGTCCCCACCCGTGTCTTGTTCATTACAGTATGTGTTACATATAAAGCTTATGTTCTTGCTATACCGCGTACTACTTGGGCACTCGAACGCTAGAACCCTCCAAGTCTCAAATGAGATGAATGAGAAGGAGCGTTATTCCAACAGTGTCAAATATGGTGCAGAACTCTGAGGTATTTATATTTTTTAGTAAAAGCGAAATCATCATTATAATCATCCAGCCCGCACACAGTGGTTTTTAGCTTCTATCCAATAGAGAAGCTACGCGTCTAGTTTCTGGAGTGTCCTTCCAAAAGATGATTGGATGGAATGTATTCGGCTCTTTCTGAGCTACCTTAAGTTCACCTGTGGGCTGTGCTCACAGAATTCTGGCTCACTGCAGAATTCAAATACTCTCTTTCAGATCTGAAAGTCCTGTGCGTACTTCTGAGGAGTGCCATAGCGGAACGAAACATTCTCCTGATGCTTTCTGGTTTTCAGTGGATTTTTCACCAAGATCCTTGATGTGAAGCATGTTGTAGAGTAATACTCTGAATCGTCACTGAACGGAACAAAGTTCATTGTGGCCAAGTCAAGATTCGGTATGGCTTTACTTTCATCTATAAATGTTGGTCGGTTGCGTTTTGACAAACATTGTTAGATTTCTTGATCAATTTCTTAAATGATTGAAAACTAAGGAATATATTAGCTCATATCAATCACTGTGGCTTATTGAGTCAGGCATCAGACTTCCAAACAGTAAGTTTCAGGTCTTAAGTTCACTTTACATATTTCGATTTGGATGGCCGTCTAACATCAGTAGCCCTCATTTAAAGGTGAATACGTGAGATTTCGTATGTCATAGATGAATTTTATTAATGCATTGACTATTGTAGGCTTACATAAAACGATTCACATTCCTTAGAATATTTGTTGTAATATATACTCTTGACTATACCCTTTTTATGCATTATTTGTATATTACAAATTGATTATTCTTTACCATCTTCCTATTTATTGAGTTTTTCTGTGATTTCCTCATTGTTTTACTTAAAATTAGGTGGAAAATTGAGTCAACCAATACGTTGGTTAAATTACTTGCATTTTGCAATATTCTTTTTTGGTTCTACGGGTACACGTTGTTGGACCACATTAATCGCATTAGTTCTTGTCATGGAACGTGCACGTAGTCTATGCTTTGTATTACGATATCAATTACATATTTACTTAGCTGGCTTCTTGTAAGTTTCTTTCCTTTCAATTTTGTTTTGGTTAATAGTTCGTGTGGTCATTATCAAATATACCTTAATTTTAATAATCCGAATATTAAGAAATCAAGATTTCTGTCCGTGTATAGTGAAAGTTGGGATGAACAAAGTTTGTTTATCTTTGCTTTCTATGACATTCGATCAGATTAATTAGAATAATTTTAAAGTCATGACGAACACTACATGGATTGTTTTATCATATAATTGTTTTCTGAGGTCATTTCCATTCATCCATGAGTGTGTACACAGTATCGATTTCAAAATCTTCGAGCGCCGATCCAAAATCACGTTATTTCATCCAGTTTTTATTTTCGAAACTTATGTTTTCTCATTGTTACTGTACCTAGTCATTTTATAGATTGGACTTTCATTGAACCCTAAATAGAGTCCAATGACTTTCTATCCGGAGTTACAGTCAATTTTTGGCTTTCCTGATATAATCTTCCTTGTCCATAATCACTGTAGTGCATCCTTTTTCCTCTGAGACTATGACAATATCATCTCTAGTCCTGAGTTTCTCTAAGGCTTTTTGTTCTTGTAAAGTTAGTTGGGTGTTGTCTTTTTTCCATCGAGTTAGCGGTACTATGGCTTATCTTATTTCCTGTTGAGTTTCTTCACTTATTCCGACAGATCGTGGATGCGCACTGCTGAAGAGTCCCACAATAGGACGAAACGGCCGTCCAGTGCTTCCAGGCTGTCTATGGTGATCTAGCTTCAATTGACTCATGATCTCAACCATTGAAATTTTTTAAATTTTTTTTATTGGACCAACTATAGATATTGTCAGTAGTTCAGTAGTTCACTAACTTACATCTGAATACATTCCTACATAGATAGATTGTTATGTCATATTGGATTTTACCGATTTGTTTGCATTCTCAATTCACATTGTATGAAATGATCTTTATTTTGTCTAATTTCTCTTTCCTCCCTTTTTTCATAAACCCATCCATTTTAAATACTGGCGTAACTGTCTGCATATGTTTTTTTTCCTACAGATTGTGTAAATAATTCAGTGATTTATTCACTTTTTTTTCAATGAACCATGTAAATTTATTAAATTTGCACTTTTTATCTAATTTAAGTGTTTCATGATCAATTGAATAATTGATTGATTGGTTGGCTGGTTGGTTGTCTAAGCCCACAGTGTTGCACCTATATACTCCTATTCACAAATACCACTACCCGACTACTAGACATCATTTTTTGTTTAATACACTATTTTCTATCTAATCTCTATGTGAATTATACTGTTTTACCTTAAATTAAATAAAACATTTTTTTGTAAGGAATATATCAGTGTATTCAGAGATATTTGTAACAATGAATGTGAACTTTTGTGAAGTTTTTGTGTAAACATATAAATTATGAAATGATTTTCTCAAATATAAATCATGGTCATTCTTAATAATAAATAATAATTAGCGAAAATTAGATTATATTAAATTAATTTAATAGTTGGATTCATCAGTCCATTGAAGCTAGACCACTAGAGAAACTCTGAAAGCACTAGATGGCCGTTTCATTCTAGTATGGGACTCTTCAGTAGTGCACACCCATGAAACGGCCTTCCAGTGCTTTCAGGTTTGCCATGGTGGTCTAGATTCAATTAACTCATGAATTCAACTACTAAATTACTATAATATCCACAAAACCCGTCTCTGATTATATTAAGTTAGTTAGTTAGTTAGTTAGTCAGTTAATTAGTATATAGCATAATTGAATTCAAGTTGTAAGTGAATCATATCTAGTTCATACGTTATGAAAAACCTGAGTATTTACGGTTTTATGTTGATAATAGATGTAGAACTGAGTATAGTTGACGATCAATATTCTTATAGAATAATACAACATTTGTTCAGTAAATCAATTAGTTATAAACAATGTTGAATGTGATATAGAATAGAAGGAATGTGTCAGCTAGTAGTGAAATCTAAGATGCACGTTTCGTCCTATTTCGAACTCGTCTTTAGCTGGATATACTTTCAACTCAGTGTTTAAATTAATAAAAATATCCCCACATAATAAATGTATGGATATGGAGAATCCTGATTCCAAACCAATGATGTATATGGACTCCAAGATCCTAAGAAAACAAATGGCATATGAACCTATTGTTGCTCACTGGCTACCATGGGACTGCATCTGCTGACGTTGTCCCACTGCTTTTTGGATTAGACCTTTAGGTCAAATGCTCGAGGTGTGATCTGGCGCACCCGTGCAGTATCCCCCAACCCTCCCATATATATAGTTTAAAACCCTTCATTTATTATCTACTAAATTAACTATTCAGTAGTTTTATCAATAGTGTTTCTTTAACTGTTATCATTAATTGAAAATAATTATTCTTAACAAACCAATATGAACTATAATAATCGATTAGAGCACAGTAAATCAATCCTTAATATCGATTGATTATGAAGTAAATTTTTTTTGTTTTTTTTCTTCATATAAACAAATTCATCATCATTAATGAATGAAACTTATTTATTGAATGTTCTTTACAATTAATCAAATACCCATATAACACAGTGTTTAGATTTTTCTATTTAATATTGATATAATCATCGATTTTATTAGAATAATGGAACTACTTGATAAATTGATGTCATATTGTCTTGATCTATCTGCTTTTATAATCACTATCATTACAATCTACTCTTGTAGTAGTCAATATAACAAAGAATAGACTATGATTTCCATGATGGTTGATAGCCTTATCGATTGTTTAGTATTCTACATTTCAATGTTGTTGTAATGTACAAGAACATATAGGTGGAGACAACCAATGTATTTGGGTGAGAAATAACAGTTTCTTGATAGAATATAAAAACCATACATTGGCAAATATTCCATGAATTAGCACAACAATTACTAACTATTTGCGTTCTCTTCTATTCTATCTTTCAAACATTCTGCTGCCAGGCATTTCACTTCTGATTGCTGTTATATACTACTTATGTTGACAAACATTTTTTACTTGTGATTCCCTCATTTACAATTACTCCTTTGAAGTCATCTATAAAATAGGTCGATATTGATTAGAATATATGATAATACTGTGAAAATGATGATGTGAAGTTCAGCGATATTGGGAACAACAGTGAAGCTACGTTACAAACAGGAAATAATCGAAGAATGTAAATCGTTAAATGATTCCATTTCAACAATCTAAAAATAATGAGTCAGTAATCTTCAGTTCTATGTGTGGTAGAGTAGTTTTGAATGGGAACTACTGTTGAGGAATCCTTTATTCCTAATGAAACGGTCATGCAATTTTTCTTAGTTAGTAACATAAAGTCACTAAGTTTCTTTAAACTTGATTCTCGTCTGGTCAGTTCTTGTTTCGTTGAATGCATAGTGTTCAACTTTGCATGTTTCTTCTTAAAGATAAAGGTACATATTATCCAATCGATCTAATTTCTTAGATGAAACTCATCTTTGTATAAATTGTATTGAAGTTGTCTATGAATTTACTTACTTATAGTTAACTAGTTATTCATTAAATGAAACAGTAATTGGTTGGAAATTTTGACTGAAAAGTAATGTTCATTTTGTCTGATCACGTCTTTTGAGAATCATACTTAAAAGTGGATCAAGATTAGAATGCTACATTCTTAGCTGTGAGATGACTTTGTAAGCACGTAACAACGAGCATCGTTCTAATGTTTGACATACCTGACAGCATAGTATATCTTCAATCTCGAAGGAGAATAATACTCTTTGTGTAATCCAAACGAAGTATTATCACCAGGTTGAATTGAATAGAGTTTTGTCTACACTTAGGGATAACAACTACACCCAAAGAATTTTTAAAGAGGATTATTAGAAATGAAAGAAAAACTAAACTAGAATGTATATCGAAAGATTGGAAGTCTACCGTGGTCATCCCACACCCTAGTGAAACATCGGAAGAAATCAAGAGGATTCTAAACAAGCATGATATAAAAGTGTATCTTCGGAATTGTGACACCATAAGATCAGCATTAGTGAAAGTTAAGGGTAGGTTCTCAGAGGAAGAACAACAGAATATTGTTTATGAGATCAGCTGCCATGATTGTAATGAAGCTTATGTGGGAGAAACTTCTAGACAACTGAAGGTGAAGTTGAAGGAAGACAAACAATGTTTGAAAAATGTCCTCAAATCCTCGATTGATTTAAAGAAACTTGAGAATAAGTCGGCGATAGCGTTACATGCGTTGGGAACAGGACCCAAGATTAATTTTAAAGGGACCAAAACACTTCAGAAAGGTTTTAACACCCATAAAGAAAGATTGACAGCAGAAGTGCTGTATATATGGGCGAATAAGAACAGTTTGAACCGAAAGGATTGTATTCAAGTAGCGACTACTTGGCAAATGTTCGTAAACAAGTAATTGGACCCATTCTTTATGCAACCTGTTTATTTCACACGCACCGTTATTCTGACTGAATTTAATGTTGGTTATTTTTAGCAATACGATTATGTGCTTTATCAGAAGGGGTTTTTGTGAAGATTTTAGCAATTTAATAGTTGAATTCATTAGTCGATTAAAGCTATCGATATCTGATGATTTTTCATTTTACATGCACATCAATGATTCAGAAACAAATTTTCAACCTTCACCTTGCACTTTTATTTTCCCTTCATATAAAAACATATTAACACGTAATCTCAACTCGATCTTACACATACATACACACTCAACTTGTTAGGTCATTTATTTTCACATCGTGAACTTTCCACGTGACTTATGTTATTCTGTTTACTGAGATCAACATCCAAACATGATTGGCTTAGCACAGTATAGATTTGATTTGATTGTTAAGCACTGGATATTTGATGATTTTGATTATTACCCTGAAGAAGTCCAGACAAGTTTTTTGGACGAAATATTGGAATTATTCTAGATTTCAATCACTGAGTTTATTTCAAATATAGTTGTCACATATATAATGACTTTCGTACTCTTGTCGACCAATTTTTGTCAAACTATTCGTTCTTATATTGATGAATATCCGTAATAATCAAATTCTATCGATCTTGTTGAAATGAGACATGGGTGTATGTATTCTATAGATGTAAGTCGAATACTCAATCGTTACATATAGATCTTTAGTTTAAGAATTGTCTTTTTTGAATGATGTCTTACCTCAATTAAAAAATATATATACCAAACTACTATTTCTATATATATCTTTAGCATTTTCATAGTCTCATTTATATCGAATCATTTGAATAACTTCTATCTTTTCAATCATTATTTGCTTGCCTTCTGCTTTCTTGTGTTCTGAGTATAAATTCTATCTATCTTACAGTATACGTTTAAAAAAATCAGTTTGATTAGTTGCTGATTATTGAAGACCTCAGTCATATATCTTGATCCAATTTCTGTGCATCTAATTTCATGCTGTTACGATTTGATTGTAAACTTATTTTGCGCTTACTCTCGAATTTACAGTTATTCGATGTGTGAAGATTATTGTATTGGTTAATCTTGATTTGTAGAACACCTGCAGTTGTCACTGGCCTACTACTGTTAACATCATTTGGTCATATGGTGAAAGATATCGATCCGATTTTTCAATGTGGTACTAATCAAGTAAGTGGAATGTTTTTCGATAATTGGTTGTCTAACTTGCTCATAGTAATAGCTAGTTAAGTATTGATTACTATGATAGATGGTTGGAAAAAATCAGTAGGGGACTCCTAAATCTGATTTTCATGCTAATTAATGCTTATTGACCTGAAATCATTATGAGAATTTTGAATAAGTTCGGAGGAAGACTTGTGAGAATATACTTCATTTAATAAGCTATTCAAATGATCAATCTTTTCGATCTACTCTAACCCTAATAAATCCAAATCATGTCGATTATTCAGATGTCAAACGCCATCGGATTTGTGTTTTATCAATTGCACCACGCATTTGACTTCTGCTAGCCTCACTATATCTCCTGAGGCATTTCGGGAAACATGTTCGATTGGTTGAATGCGTGGATATCTTAGCTTACAGCACATATTTTTTGGAAATCAATGTAATATCGGGAACCGTATCTAATTGAAGACAACTAGGTTTTCCACTCACTAATAAGCTTACATACTTCCGTTTACTTTGAAATTCAACTTTAAAACTCAAAAGTACTCTTGATTGGACTCTGTGAACGTCGCTTCACATTTACGCTACGACATTTTGACTGGCGTTTATTTTGATGAACATTGACCTTCTTTATGACCAATGCGATGAAAATTGCGGCACTTGTAATTTCTAAACGTTCACAATTTGACAAAATCCTATACTCAACAAAACCAACATGGTGATGGTTTGCCAGCAGGTTGTTGTGCGCTTGCTGTGTTTTGTTTAGAAGGCTTTGAGGATTTGATTGGATTCACTAATTTGAAATCTGAAAGTTGCACCATCGCGGTATCATGTTTGAGATGTAACAGACGTTGACGTTCGACTGTGACCATTTGTAAAGTCATGTTACATTCCTGCTCAATGCTCATTAAAATTATGGTGCGGACATCAACAACTTCTGGATCCTTTAATCCGCAGATAAAAATCATACATTTAAATTGACCTGATGTAATTTCATACTCTCGATTTACTTTTCCAACTTAAGTGATATAATAATCGGATCGAGATTTTAATATTTTAAAGCATTGATAGCTAATGTTAGATAATGAGGACTGTGTCATTAAAAGATAAATTTCGAGGATTTTGTGTCAGGATGAATTTTCAAATCTTTTAATGGCCACTGTAATACGTCTCGATCATTCTGTGTCTTAATCACTATAGTTTACACCTAGTAACCTCAGTCAATTCATGACACATAACGCGCATTAGCATTATTTATTCGTTGTAAACTAATGCTAAACAGTCATTTCAGTAGTATTGTAACTAACACATAAATCTACGGTAAAAACAAATGGCATCGTTTATGAGATCATGTTTGCAATTTTTTATTCTCTTTTTTCAATTACCATTGAAATTGAGATCTTAAAACTGTGTTTTGTTTTCTTGTTTGAATAAAAAATCAGCTGATTATATCAATCATAGTTTTGATAGTTAATGCATCTGGTACTTTAGCCTGTTTAATCAGTTTTATACGAATCGATGTTCCTGTGCAAGATTGTTATGAGATTAAAGCATCACCAGATGTAAGTTATCGTATATTATTATTATTATTATTGTCACTAATACTAGGTGATTAGAGACAGTTTTACCTAAGGGTCATGATAATTGGCCGTTTTCAGGAAGATGTACCCTACAATCTTGAAGAAACTGGTGCTCCGTGTGAAATTCGACTTGGTATTAGTGACTTTGTTGTCTGACTTTCTCTCACTTGTATTTTTCTACTTACTACGAACATTTTCACCAATGTTTATTTACTATCTCCTACTTCATGGTTATGAAACTTCATTACCTCTGAAAGTGAAGGACATACATAAAGGTGACTAGTGTTTGATTTTAAATATCTCCGACACATAGCTCATGCATGTTGATGAAACCAACAAGTAAGCATTGCTAGAGTAAACCGTATGGTACTAGGTAAAGTTTGAAAATCGATTGATGAGATGATGAATTTCTGTAATTCGAGGCGGATGGGGCATGCTTAACAACTTATACCACAAACGCCGACTCCCTTGGCACAAATTGTTGGTTGTTGTAGACGTAGATTGATAAATAATTGAGAGCGACTAAACGAGGCATGATGTTATTGATTGTTAGTTTGAATTGTATTGGAAGGTGGAAATGTTCTTGCTTGGGACACATGTAATCAGTGTTTGCAGACTACAGACAGCAACATAGTTCAGAACCGGTCTCATCTATGTAAATTTACTCATTCTCGAGTTATTATGTAATTTCATGTTACTTATCCCCCTGTTAAATTCCTTTTCAAATTATATATATATGATTTGACTACTTGTACTAATCTATAGTCATGCCAGGTCTTAGATCGTCCATAAACAACTGACTGGTAGACTGATTCTACATCAATAGGAACTTTATGACAACAATTTGTGTTCTACATTTTTCCTTAAACAATGATGTTCATGTCAGGTTTGAAAAAAGACAGTAGTTTAATATATTCACTCCTTCATAGTATTGGTTTAGAATATCAAAATAATTCTCTCAATAATTACATCTGTAATTTGATCAGTGAATTATACTATATGCAGTGCGTCTTGCCATCCCCTAGAACGAATCGATCTAATAATCAAAGTCAATCATATTGTTTATAAATTTCTGTTTCAATTCAACCTTTAAATAAACGAGAATTCTGTTATTAAGATGATTCTAACTAGAAAATATAACATTTTCTTTGTTGTTGATAATGTTGAACGCTTAACACTTTTATCCATCTAGTCAGCGATTAGCGCAAATATCTTAATCTCGACCTGAATGACATAGCAGTAATGTGGTGTGTGCTACTTATGTAGACAGATATAAGTAGTATATATCGAGAATTGGAAGTAGGATTCTTACTGACAAGCGGAACATGAGGGGAAAAGAAATGAAAGCAGAAAAAGTTCGACTAGCAACAGGAATAAAAGAATGATGGAACGTGTAAGCGATAATTCAAGGAAGATGTGTAAATGGTGTATTCAATGTAATGTTTTCATATTTTACAAACACAATGTGATATTGCTTAATACAATAAATTGGTTTACTCTCACTAAATCTCCGTTCATTACAGTAACACCTTTGACTATGACATTTAGCGATGTGGGTTTGAATTACATACAAAGCATCTGTTCACTCAATATTTTAAGTGCACCTTACTGACGAGAGCTGACTAGTCCAGAATATAAGTCAAGTAGGGCTTTCTTCGCGTGGCGTCTAACAACCAGTTAACATTAAATAAAGTGCACCACAATCTTGAGTCACCTAATTTAGTGTTAACATTGTAACTTTATCAACAGAATTCAATCAGTATTACAGGACTAGTCAATCATGGCATTGATAACCATCCAATGGCCAATCAGTGTATTTTCAGCTATCCGCATCCGTTAGTAGAGCTTTCAATTCATTATAATTCTATGAACAAGCTCGATCATTTTCGTCAGTTCTAGCCAGTTTTCATTAGTTCACATTTTTTATAGGTAGCAGAAGGAATATGTCGTTCACAACTTTGTCGAAATTTTAACGATTTTGACAAAAATGATACCGATCAAACACAACAGTCTCAACAAACTTCTCCGAGTAATTCAATCATTACAGACAATTATCGAATCACTAGAAACAGTGATGATTCCGAGTTACTAAGTTGTAGAAATCCACAAATTCCACAGTCATGTGATTCTGCGAAATTCTGTAATCAATGTGATAAGAAACAACGAAAAGAATGTGCCAAGTAAGTTGTATTGCAGAATACTTCCTGATTTAATGAAATGTGTAGAGAAAGTTTCCTGTCTTTTTCATTTTTTATGTCGTCTTTTCTATCCTAAAATGTGTCGTTTACTAAGTTTAGTCTAACTCCAATTTTTATAACTCCCCGTCTGAATTTCGCACATATTTTCTAGACAAATCCAGTTGTGTAATCAGATTACTTATTTAAACACAAAAACATTAGTACAAAAGTACACCGAAATATATATAGGCAACACAGAAGTTGTGTTAGGGCTGGAATATTGACCGGGCGACCAAACTGAAGCGGGTGGTTTTCTTAGGGAACCGGTCATTGGGTCATTGACCTAGACATCTGAACCACAAGGCAATAGAGCAACGTTAGGAAACGAAGTCTCATGGTAGCCGGTGACCAACAATAAATTCATACGTCAATTGTTTTCTCATGATCATGGAGCCCATCTGCACCAATGGTTTGTGTTATGACTTGTGGTCTGTTAACTAACACGACTTATACAATCTTAGTGCTGTGCTAAACCAATGAGGCGTTGACCCGTACGAGCAGCCTGTAGTCCTTATTGGTCTTTCTCATCTAGCCATATCTGTTAAATCCAGAACACCAATATCAGCTTCCATTGTATGAATCATGTATTTCAGACACAAGTAGCTTATATACAAACAAACCAGACGGCATCAAACCACAAAGTAGGAAATAACAATTATACTTAATCAAGCCAAAAGTGTCTATGATTGTCAGAGACTGCAACTAATAAATTAGTAATAACTTAAGAACCGTAAGTCGTAAAATAAGTAGTCAATAAGTCAAATTGAAGTTCATAATAAAAGGAATATGAATATAGCGTTTTAGTGTTTTTTTAGAGAGTTAGTTTTCTACGGGATGGGGACGCTAACCCCATGCCCAACCCTCCTCCTTTATCCTGGCTTGGGACCGGCAGTAGCCCCCGGAGGGACTTCAAGCGGAGTTAATATGAATATATATATATATATATATATATATATAACCACTAGGCCACTGAGCTGGCATCCAACGGTGTTAATGTCTAACTTCAACTAATCCACGAAATTGAGCAACACATCCACCATTGTCTTCAGTGAGTTACTATCTCACAACAAACCTGGTTGAACTCCACTGGTCACTACTTCTCACTAGAACTCCAGGATATACCTCGTGAAGCCAGTCACTAGTGAACATATGTTGGTTAATATCAGATGGGTTTTGTGGAGATTGTAGTAATTTCAATGGTTAAGATCATGATCTTAACCATTGAGATATATATATGAATTAAGTTGAATTGATAGGACCCAGTGTAAATAATTATAATTTGTTCAGTTATTAATTATTGAATAGAATAAAACATCATTATAATAATGAACTTTCATAATTATTTCTACATTAAACACTAAAATTGTCATCGTTAAAAACAGCCATGTGGATTTATTTATCATAATTAGAGAAGTTTTTCACAACCTTTCACTAACACAATACACTAAATACTGATAAGTATTTACTTATTTACGTATGTTTTTCGAGACAGTCCATGTTTATTTCTACCAAACTTCAATTTTATAGTAGACAAATGGATTAACTTGACTTTGATCATAAATCAAATGATCACTGTAGTGTTATATAGAAATGACCTTTGTAACGTCACATACTGTAATTTAGACACATTTAAGTAAATCTACCATGAATACCACGTGTAAATTAGATAAAAATTCACAAAAACCCCAAATTAAAAATGTTATGTCCCGATGAGAATAATGAATGATAACTTTTGAGATCCGTTTATGAACCAATACTATGCGTATATTTTTATCGTCTAATTATTAAGTTACTAGACTGTTCATACTCATGTCTCTCTTATTATAAGCTTTAATTTGACCCATAGACTGTTACTATACGATTTACCATTCTTGAGTTATGGCCTGTCTATTAATTACTACCTCCCTCATTCACAGCCATATTTGGCTAATTCTTGTACAAATGTTGTTTCATATTTTACTGGTACGACGTGGTCTGTCTTATTGGTATATAAACCGAGTATGTTTGAAATAAATGATTCATATCGCAGAGACTGAGATTTGTATTCTGGACTTAACTGACTGGGCTAGGCGGAAAGCAGGACCAATAAGGACTGTAGACTGCTCGTACGTATTTTATGCGTCACTGGTTCGATCGATAATTCACTGCTCACTAATTGACGGTATCGTTACGTTATACATTAACAGGGCTCAGTCGGCCACAAATTATAAAAAAACAATAGTTCTGAGCTCTCTAATGACTTACTTTGAGATGAATTTTTTGAAGTTGTAGTGGGTAAACCATCTGAATAATCATCACGATATATCGCAAATTGATTAAAGTTTGAAAAGCATACCATTGAATGCCAATTCAGTGATCAAATGGTTAGGTACTGATACCACGACCTTGAAATCTTGAACTTGATCTTTAGTGGGGTCTTCGGAGTATATTGCTAAGGAGTCCCATACTAGAATGAAACAGTTGTGCAATGCCTCTTGATTTTCAGCGGCACTCCAACTGAGATCAGTTTGTGACATATATCACCTATAAATTATATGAATCTCTACAGAAGTCCCAAATTAAGCACATTTTATATCAATTAGCATTCGTAAAATAAAAAAGCATTTATATCTGGTGTTATGACGTGAAAATGCTGCTGATTAGAGGGTAGCGAATTATTGATCGGACCAAAGACGCGCAAACATGTAGAACGGCCTAGGGTTCTGATTGGTCCCGCTTCCCTGTCTAGCCCAGCTGGTTGAGTCCAGCCTCGGATATATGAATCGCTATATCTCAAACACACTCTGTTTATATACTAATCAAGTAGACCACATCGTACCATAAAATAGAAAATAACATTGTACAATATTGACCAGTAGGAAAATGACACGTTAACTGAATATTGACCGATGGGATGATACCATTTCATGTCCAAGGATAGCATTAGGCTTAACAGAATAATTTTTGGGATATTTTTCTGAATATCCCAACATCTGGACATAATCGGACTATTGTATAATCGAAAATAATGTTTTTCCCTATCATATTATATATCTTTGATAATTTCTATAATATTCTCTTCAAGTAAGATCAAATCAGACCTCCCTAGGAAACATTGGAACTAGCAACTAATTTCAATCGTTGAGTTTTTTTTGTTTCATGTCTTATATACAGTGTTTGAATTTTGTGCAAGTTTTAGTAAATGTTTACTTATAAAAAATTTATCGTCTCAAGATCACAGATACACTTTGATTAGTGATTTCAAAAAATCTGAATTCAGCGATCTCTTGTTTGCTTTCAACATCAAATGAAATTCCCCGTAATATGTGGTGATTTACATACCAGCATGCACATGAAAATGTGTTAGATGTTTAAAGATAGTTAACAGGAAACCTTGAACCCAAGTTTGATATTAGTCGATACCCATCAGGAAGGTATACCTGAAGTAATAAAGAAATTGATGCTCGGTTCACAGTTCTAACACTTGCCGCCTAGTTTCTTAGTCTGAGACGTTACCAGTGAACTATTTAGGCGATGACTGACTTCTAAATATTCTTACTGAACGCTTGATTCGGTTTCCTAAGCTCTTCTAGTAACTCTAGGCGAGATACATAAATTGGTTGATCACTGACTCGTAAACAGTGTCATGTTTGTATATTTCCAACTAACATGAAACCGATGTCCAGGACTTGCTGTTGACTATCTTCGTCTGTCTAACACCTCGACATGGTGCACTCGATGTTGAGCCATGTAGACTGCAAAAAATTTGAATAGCGCCAAAGGACTAGACAAACATGAAATCAAAAGTCCCAGAAGTGAGGTACAGCTTCTTCTTCACCTAGTAACTACTATTTCCAATACTAATGTAAATAATACTGATATTTTTTATGCTCTTAATTAGTAAAGTAAAAGAAAACTTATAAACTGGTAACATTTGTTATGTACAACATTAATCGAAACTATTGACCTATGTAATGCTGTAGGAGAAACATGATCGTACATATTTCTCATCGCCGTGCAAGAATTATGACTAATGGGTATCGGAAAATAGACTTACATATATACCCAACCAGTTTTATCTAGAAAATTTGTTAAAGTGTAGTTCGTTGTACTAGTTCAATTTGATGGATACATTAAACTATCGATCACCTGGTCAACGTATTTTATAATGCACTCACTACACAGAATCTAACTCAAGAACTAACTAATAAAAAAAGTAAATCTTGTTGACCTCAATAGAGTCAATCTATAATAACGTAAGATTTTTCATTCATGATGCCTACGATTATTTAACTTAATAAACACTAGAGTTTATTATTTAAAACAGGCTTTCCTAACTACAGATAAAGAGATGTTTGTATTACTTGAAGTTGTTTTTTTCAGTGGTTGTATAAAATTACTACCACTTAAGAGATAAGAACTAAACATCAACTCATTCACTCTATGAATTACGTAATAAAGAAGAAGAAAAAAACAACCATATCAATTCAAATCAGCATAGTTTTCAATATAATGCTAGAAAACGTGGGAGTTGACGACAAGCAATGAAAATCATTGTATACATGTTTGTATTAAAAAAGAATGTGATGAATATGTTACAGGAAGTAGAATACAATTATACCGATCAAATAAATTCATATTTCTAATTGGCTTCCTGTTGTTGTTTGTTTTAGAGAATATTTTCTTTTTAGGAAGAAAAAAATGAAATTCAACATTAATAGTTGAATTCATGAGTCGATTTAAGTTAGACCACCATGGAAAATCTGGAAGCATTGGACGGAGTCCTATACTATGAAGAAACGACCATCCAGTGCTTCCAGATTTTTTATGTGTTGGGATATTCAAAAAAAATATCCTGTTACGTCTAATGCTATCCTTGAACATGAAATGGTGTCATTTTCCTATTGGTCAATATTTATTTCACGTGTCATTTTCCTGTTGGTCAATATTCACGGTAGTCCTAACTGTATAAATATGCATTCTTATTCTTCTCCTGACCGCATAAACAATTTTCATCTACGGTTCGTCTTCTAATATATTGGAGATTGGGGAACAGTATTGAGGTCGTACTGGGATATCTGAAGTTGGTCAGTCGGTAGAAATTAGAGTAGCCACCTCGCGATCCACAATAATTTGGCGACGGAGATTTAGCAAACAAGTTGGTGACTAACTATGGATCCAGCCAAATTAGAATAATTGTTCGAACAAAAGCTGAAGCTGATGGGAATGATTACTCAGGCGCACATATCTTCTCGAGTCCCAATTACACCGACAATCCCTCAATCAGTTGATGGTATTATCAGTACTATTTCAGAATTTCTTTATGATCCTGATGCCAATATTACATTTGATACTTGGGTCAGGCGTTATGAAGACCTTTTCAAAGTTGACTTTGCTGTCCACAATACCATGGTGGCCTAACTTAAATCGACTCATGGATTTAACAATTGAATTACTACAATCTCTACAAACTCCCCCCCCCCATTTAACATTATTTGACATTTCTGTTTATTTTCATTTCTTTTCTATGGATAAACTTGAAAGGTACTGCATGTAGTAAATTAATAAGTTTGAATTATTATCATTTTTCTCTTTTTGTTTATTCATTATCTGTCTAGAATTCTTGCACGATATTGTGAAACACATCAACCTTCCATGATATCGTCAACATCAGCTACGCATCCAATAAATCAACAAATTTCTTTAGGACTTGAGTTGGATAATGTTCATGCCCAGGGAAACAATAAACCTCCACATCATAAACATGTGATATTCTTAATATTAATATTAGTTACAATGTTTCTTGTAAGTTTACTTTCATGTTATCAATGTATGTATGTGTGTATGTTTCAGTTGATTAACTACTGAGACAAACATAACCTAATCCAAAATTTAATGTTGTATATGTTTAACTTCAATTGATTCGTAGCATTGTGCGTCCATCTCCTATTGTCTGCAGTGGATAACTGTCTTGCACCTGACGTGGCTGAACTCCACTAGTTAAAACGTCTGTCTAGAACTAGAATTGCATGTAGAAGCTTGTTGCCAGGATCTACTCACCATTATACTATTTAAGTATAACTCGTTAATTCATTATTATCGATCGTGATTAACACCAAGTAAGATTTCCTCATCCTTGTCTCTAACCCCTTGAAGTATATGTCTGTTTATATGTTAGAAGTGTAAGAATATTCAGTGATTCATTTTTTATAGCTTCACGGTTTGTATTAAAATCAAAACAGGTTTTCTAACTACAGGGTAACAAAATACAATCTGTTCAAAAAAATCGATCTGATTAAACTTTTTTTTTACCGTACAATCTATTTACTGTTCTGTTTGACTTCCAATCACTGAAACAATCTTGTGTTAGAAATCTTATTTCAGTCACTTCATGAGTGATTGGTATATTCAGACCTCATTCAGTAAGCTTAATTCAGCACCAGATACATTAACCCTTACCGAGTTGCAGTAAACGTTTAGATTTTTTGAAGTGTTATAGCATTAAAAGTGAAGTGAACAAAAACTACAGCATAGTTTGTTGAAAAAATAAACATCTAATCTTTAATATAGGGTTGTAGAGATTGAAATCATCAACCGATCAATTTCCATAACCCCATACTGAAAATTATTATGTTCTGATTAGTGACTAGCTTTGAGAGAGTATTCTGAGAGTTCTAATGAGCAGCTGTGACCAGTGGGGTCCAACCGTGTCGAGCGTAAGACATTTATCCACTGAAGACAATGGAAGATAGTCACACAATATTGCAGACTAGTCGGAGTTAGACATTAACACCGATTGATGTCAGCTCAGTGATCTAGAAGTTAAGCGTTTGCGCGAGATCGGAGGCGCCGGATTCAATCCACCTACGAACTGCTGAGGAGCCTCATACTAGGACAAAACGGTCGTCTAGTGCTTCCAATTTTTCAATGTTCTAATGTTGATCGGATCATGATTTAAATCAAATTACCTAATCTTCTTGAAATACTGATCGTTTTTCATGAGCATCTAAAGTTAAATGATATAACAAAAAAATTACGGTGGTGTGTAACCACGTTTATTTGTCATTTTGAGCTTGATATCTGTTAGGGATGCAGAGGAATATATCAATAATTATCATGTTAAGTCTAATAGTGTCCTTGGACGTTAAATGGACATTTCCATTGGTCGATATTCATTTCACCTGTCAAATATTGTACAAATGTTGTTTTTCTATTTTATGGTATGATGTGGTCTGGTTGGTTGGTATATAAATAGAGTATGTCTGAAATACATGGTTCATATCTCAGAGGCCGTGACTTGCGTTCTGGGTTCAACTGGCTGGGCTAGACAGCGAAGCAGGGCCAATCGGAACTCTAGGTCGTTCTTGCGGGTTCAACGTGACACTAATCCGATCAATAAAACGCTGCTATCTAGATCTGCAGTCTCACCCGTTACAACAATGTCATTTCATCCATTGCTTACATATATTTGTTTTGAACTATAGTTCCTTACGTTGGTAATTCTCCACTGTGTTGGATATTAGTATTTTCTTTTCGTTTATTTTTTTACCTATTTTTACGTTCGTCTTCTGCAGCTGGTAGCTTAGATAAGATCAGATTTTCCCCAGATCCCTGTGTCTGGCTATATTTTCAAAATTATTGTTGTTAGACATTTATTCACATTTTTGTCGCTACACATATTTCTAAATGCATAATTAAGTTAAACAATGAATATGAATGAAATATGATATTTAAGCTTGACAGCATCTTCAACTGCGACACATATTACTTTAAAGCAAATGACCTTCATTTTAATTGGTGCGAAATATTTAATTATTGAATGGTATGAATCTAAACAGTTTTGAGTTATATACGGTAGGTAACAGCAAAAGACTTGTATTTTGTTAGGAGTTCATTGAATCGTAAATTTCTCAGCTTCGTTCACAATGTTATTTTGTGAATCACATCAGCTTACTTATTCTTATCATCTCATTCAACGTTATTATCTCCTTATAATAGGTTTCGTCATTTTGAGCAGAAGAGATTCCACTATGTTCATTCTTATCTTTTTTCTTCTCTTTTTAGGGTATTTGTCTGTGTACTTGGAGGCTTGTACATGATGCTCCAACAGGTGTTTACATAGTTCTCGAATTTTTGGATGGTTCTTTTAATTTTGGTCAAGGTGTAGTTTTATTTGTATTATTTGGCCTGGATGCAGATTTGTTTATTGCACCGATAAAACGTTTGTAAGTATAAAACTGAATTTAAACACCTTACCGCTTTCTACTTACTTACTTACTTTCTGACCCTAAATCATGGATATAGTACTAGTTGTACTTGTTCTACATTTCTTCATATTTGAAATCTATAACGAAATGTTGTGGAGATTGTTGAATATATAGTTTCACACCACTGATTGATTTTAATTAGATAACCACCGAAAACTGGACAGCTGTGTTTATCCCGATCAGAGACTCCTTGGTGATGCTCACCCACAATCTTCCAGTTGTCGAGTGCTTTCTGATGCTCAGTGGTCGTTTGACCAAAGTTGATCTGTGATGTGACACTTTGTGTTTAAAAGTGTTGAGACTAAAAGTATGTGGCTGTTTGTATGACTTAATAGTCATGTGAAGTGACATGTTGTATTATTCAGTGGTTGAAACTTTACTTAGTATAGCAGTTTTTAAGCTAAGAGTATCAATTGCAATCTCATGAATTTTGATTTCGTTATTTCGGGAAAATCTGTCTGGATCCCATTTGATCGATTTTTATTTAAACTATCACCACATAGTCTGTCCCATGGAAATATACGCGGTTGCAAACGAATATCTAATTCTGTCAAACTGAGTTTTTCAAAAGACAGTTATAAGGAACTTATAAACTGCTACATACATGTATCTATTCAAATTACTACATCATATCATTAAAACAAGATGAAATTATCAATATCAGTGGTTATAAGAAATGGACAATACGATCCAATAAGAAAGAACAAATTCACGGAATAAAAAGTATGAGATAATTTTGAAACTAAAAATCTAAGAGAATATAAAAATTGGATATATCTACACCATTAAGGCCTTTCCTGAGTCAAGTCACCCAACGTATACAATTAGTGGTTACCATAACCGCACCGACTCCGACCAAGTAGTCTGCATCTACTAATACACTTTAGTTCAGTTGTTAACATCTTCATGAACTGATGCCACTTCTCGGCTTGACCTCTCTGTTTTACTAATGACATAGCGATAACATTTGGGCAATTATCCTGAAGCTAGACATCATCAGATTGTCATCTAGTCCTCATTTGTTGCTTTTTCTTCTACCATTCTGGATTGAACACACCATTCTTCACGTTTTATAATGAAAACAAAGTATTATTCAGCTATATTGACTCAGTATTCATTGGTTCATATTTTACCGCTTCAGTTAATTCATGGTTTAGAACTCTTCATATCAACTGTTCAACTTAATTGACTTCAAAGATCACCGACTTCCTACTATTCTTTCTCTATATAATTCATCATTTAAAAATGTGTTTGTTTTATTCTTTTTCAATTAAACAATTTGTAAATTCTTATTTCTTGAAGTCATTTTCTGTCTTTATGGTGAATAGTTTCTATGCTTTAAATTGAAATACTAATATCCAAGTCTTTTTCTAATCACTTACTAATGATACCTAAGATTAATGATTTTTTCTTAAAATTAAAAAAGAACTATTCTATCCATAAAATGTTTTTATTTACAATGTTACATAATATCGATATTGGGGTCATAACATTTAATCCGACTAAATGATGTTGCTATGTTATTCGATTGCATCTTATTAGAATTATATGCTCTCAGCTAGATGATTTAGTCGTGAAGCTTTTACTATCTTTTAATACATGATCAGTATGAACTATAGACCATTAGTGTGAGTTAAGAATTTCTCCACAATTGACGAACAACTTGTTGTAATTCAAGAATCAGATCAGTTAAATTTAAGTCAAGTGTATGAATATCTATTTGGTAAATAAGTTGTATAGATTCAATGGTATTAGTAAGATTGATTCGGTTCGATGGAGAATACTGATGGGCGGTCTATCCTCTTTCACGAGGGGTAACAGGTGTAAATAGGTAATTCGGTTGTTGTTGTTTGTTTTTTTCAAATAGTAACAAATGTGATTTGGATATCATAAGACAAAATCTGAACTGTTTTTTTTTCATATTTCCGAGTACTTTCTTTTCCAATGATGATTTCTATCGAGTACATGTTTATGTCTTTTATTGCTTCTTTTTCATTTGTCGTTTATTTGACTATTACATTTATAAACAAAAAACCACCTTAATCTATGAATATTCACAGTACAATCAAACGATTTATCATGTTTATGTAGTACACTACTGATACTATCCACAAAAATTAGGCTAAACAATCAAATCTCAATTGATTGTAGAGTTAATCAATAATACAGTTTCGTAAACAGCTATCAATTGGAAACATCATATCATTGAATTCATCTATCGGTCTTCTTTCATTTTTAAAAGTTGGAAATTGGTTCATTAAGTCATCAAAATTGTACGCCATAACACCGACATCTAACATCAACCCTATTCACTTTATAGTTCCGTAATACAGTAACATAACTTTCTATCGTGAACCTACACATAATTACCAAGTAATCATAAGTTACTAAGCTGAATGCAAATCAGTTGGATTCTATTTATACTTCTATTTATAAATAATTGAATAGAATCATCTTACATGGTTTAACCAAAATATTAATGATGTACTCCGTTCTCTGTAGGATTAGCACTTGGATGCTACTCGATGAAATGTATGCTAACTGAAATTATAAAACAGTACACGTAGGCAACTTGAAGCCATGATCATCCTACCAATCAGTGTTTACTTTTATTTACTCATAATAATGAATCATAATATATGTAGATGTATTCGCTCTTTTTTTTAACGTTTTCTCTCGCTCGCTCTCTTCCATTATATTCATTGCTTGTTGCCATATAAAGTTTATCACGTTGGTTTAGTCATTTCACCAGTAAACAATTCAATGGAAGTTTTAATGAAGCTTTGCATCAGACAACTGTTGATAAGAGTAAAATTGATAAAATAGTGAATCAGTTTGTGAAATTTCATTTAAAATCATGTTCAACAAATATTGGTACTGGGAAAATGTAAGTAAGACAAAAACTTTTTTTATGTAGTTTTTATGTTGTTACAATATTTTGATTATTATGATTATTATCAATGAGTTTGTCGACCCGGTCTACAATCCTCCTCGTTATCCGAGCTTTGGACCAAGAGTAACCCTAGAGGCGCTACAGGAGGAGTTAAAGAATGAATTACTACTATACATTTGGATTAAACAATGATAGTTGATCATTAGTGAGTTATTCGTTCGGAATGTGAACTATGTTATATAGTTGCATTCGATTGACAAGAAACTATAAATCTATGCTTTGTTCTTGGAACACTTGTCAACAAACCATATGTACAATCTTGATGAAATTATTGCTCCTCATGTCATTTAAACCCACTTCACTTAACATTGAGCTATTTTGCTTACAATTAATCTCCTGTCGGACTGAAATATTTTTAATGATTGTTCATTGAGTTGAAACAACATCACACCAAAGTGTAGCGCACGTGGATTCAAGTCATATTGACTGGTAGTAACCACACCAAGGCTCTATCGACTAAAGTCAACTAACATACGACAGTGATCAGTCATCATCCCCCATGTTTCCTAGATGAAATTCATTACTAATTTTGATACCCGGTCAAATCACTTGTACACAAAAGTTTCTTCTTTCCTCAATCTCCAATCAACCCAGCAAATCCATTCTCGTATTTGTTGTGTCTTGTTATTAGGGTTCAGTACGGCCTATGATGTTACGGGTTTAGGAACGAAAACGATTGAGCTTCTCTAACGCTATAGGTTCTATTCGGAACTGACAACAGTCAATTATACTCCACACATCAAACCTCGACGGCTAAGACAGGAAGAAGACGGAATTGCAGGTAACTTGATATATGTGATAGAACAAGCAACTCAACGAAATGGGTGCAAAAGTTGTTACTATACTAGCAAGTATCAATTTAGCGAACTAAATAAATATGACAACCAATCAGAGGGCAAAGGTCGTGCGAAAAATCAAATTGGTAGAAAGTATGCGAGCAGATATCGTTCCAGAAGAGATCTTAACCGTTCTAATAAAATCTGACTATTCTTGAGACCGCCTTGGCAGTATTTCACAACTTTTAATATCGATCCACTCACCATTTTCAGATTTTCTAGTTGGAAAGTTGTTTAAGTGAACTTACTTCTCATATCACTTTGGATATAATTGTCAAGTTAGAATAGAGGACATTCTTAAGTTACTAGTATTTGCTGAGATGTATCTCCCAAGAATTTGTCGTGCATTTTCGAACCACCGAGTGAGCAATACTTAGGTCATCAATAGGGCACTAACTAAGGATGGCAAGTCTTTTGATGAGGTGGTGAATCTTGATGAACTAAGGTAGTTGGTACATGTACTACTTACGATCAATGACCTACCATGAAGTCAATGTTGTCTGATGTATAGGAAGAAAGCTAGGCATGACCAAACGAATACATAACACTAGCTCGTGAAATTATCGACAGTTGTACTGGACCATTTCAACAGGCATGAACTACCTGGTTCAGATCAGTGCAATTATCGAAAGCAGTGGTTAGGGTTTTGGGGTGATATAAGTCAGAATCCTTCATAATGGCAAATGTAAATTTGCTCTTGGTTTTCCTTTATATACTGAATTCCGAAGTCTTTTACTTTGTTTCCTTCTTGCTATACCTAATCTTTTCCACTATTACTATTATCACTACTGTAAAATTAGTCTTGATAATTTTATCTCTCTGTGCTAATGTGGTACAGCAATTCGGACCGATGCGCAAACATTCCATATGACTAATTGACTCACTTACTTCGAATATAAATTCTCCGTATTTTATAAGCTTGATTTCTCTCCTATTGTTATTTATTTCTTTATTTAGAATTAATTCAATTCACTACGAACAAATATTTTATCAGTACACCCTGGAACAATGGTTAATTGCCGCCGGTATCACTGATTCCAATGAAGAGACATTATGTTATATAGAATGCCTTGAATTAGGTAATATTATAACGTGTATCAGTCCTATGACAAATGAATCATTTATGAATAAAGATACAACGACTACAATATCAAATACAAAACGCTTGTTAACATTCACTGCTTATGCTTGGGGTTTACATAATATAAGTTACTAAAGAAATTAATTATAATTCATAGCAGAAACTATAATAGTGTTACATTTTTTCTTGCCTACATTATATATCTGTTACAAATAAACAATAGCTTTCATAGTTATCAGATCATTGACTGTTCTTGACCATTACTTACTTACAACATGTTCAAGCTCACTTGTCTTTCAATGATCATGAGATGTGTTTTTATTTGCTTTTCATATTCTAATCCCGATGGGTTGACGACCAGGAGAGGAAGGAAAAGTAACATCTTCTTTCAATATAACAACTTCATAGTCTAACAAAACACAGTGATAGTTGTTTATTCCAGCTTTTTTTCTTTCCAATATCATTCCAATGTTTGTGTATTTTCTTCCCTGATCATTGACAAACTGAGATTACCCATCTATTCTTGTCATGTTGAACTTTTGTGCTTTTTTTCGTTTGTTTTGTTTTAAAATTTGTTGTAGCTGTTACCGCTTTTCTAGTCTACACTTTTTTGGTTGCATCTTTGTATTTATGCTTGTTGACTGCTGTCTGTTTTAACACTGATAATAATTGGTTAATTAAAACAATAATTGTTTAGTTTAACTAAGCTATCTATCTAATGAATTAGGAAATAGGCATATGTATGACTGGTATATTTCATATTTATTAATGTAATATGCTAATATGGCACAAAATACCTCTTAACAAAAAATGTCCATAACAACTATGTATTCCCCTCTTTAGCACTTAGCTTATATGGGACACTGAGGAACTTACTTACTTACTTACGCCTGTTACTCCCAATGGAACATAGGCCGCCGACCAACATTCGTCAACCCACTCTGTCCTGGGCCTTCTTTTCTAGTTCCATCCAATTCTTGTTCATTTTTCTCATGTCTATCTCCATTTCCCGGCGTAATGTGTTCTTTGGTCTTCCTCTTTTCCTTTGACCTTCAGGATTCCATGTGAGGGCTTGTCTTGTGACACAGTTGGGTGCTTTCCTCAATGTGTGTCCTATCCACTTCCAGCGCTTCTTCCTGATTTCTTCCTCCACTGGGATCTGGTTTGTTCTCTCCCACAGTACGTTGTTGCTAATAGTGTCCGGCCAATGGATCTGAAGTATTTTGCGTAGACAATTGTTAATAAACACCTGTATTTTCTGGATGTTGGCTTTCGTAGTTCTCCAGGTTTCTGCCCCATACAGTAGAACTGTCTTGACATTTGTATTGAAAATCCTGACCTTGGTGTTGGTTGACAGTTGCTTTGAGTTCCAGATGTTCTTCAGTTGTAAATATGCTGCTCTTGCTTTGCCGATCCGCGCCTTCACATCTGCATCAGATCCACCCTGTTCATCAATGATGCTGCCCAAATACGTAAAGGTTTTTACATCTTCCAAATCTTCTCCGTCAATTTTGATTGTATTGGTGCATTCTGTGTTGTATCGGAGAATCCTGCTTTTCCCTTTGTGTATATTGAGACCTATTGCTGCTGAGGCTGCTGCCACACTGTTTGTCTTCTCCTGCATCTGTTGTTGCGTTTGGGATAGAAGGGCCAGATCGTCTGCGAAGTCTAGATCATCCAACTGCATCTTAGATGTCCATTGTATCCCGCGCTTTCCTTCGGACGTTGACGTTTTCATGATCCAGTCGATCAGCAGGAGAAAGAGAAAGGGTGAGAGTAAGCAACCTTGCCTAAAACCGGTCTTCACTTCGAACGACTTTGTCAACTGTCCTCCATGCACGATTTTGCAGTGTAATCCATCATATGAGTTTGTATGATATTGACTATCTTCTGAGGCACGCCGTAGTGTCGAAGAAGTTTCCATAATGTTGTCCTGTCCACGCTATCAAATGCCTTTTCGTAGTCAATGAAGTTGATGTAGAGTGATGAATTCTATCCAATTGATTGTTCCACAATGATCCGTAGAGTTGTGATTTATTATGTACACGATCTATCCTTACGGAATCCTGCCTGTTGGTCACGAAGTTGGGCGTCTACGCAGTCCTTCATCCTGTTTAACAATACCCTGTTGAAGACTTTTCCCGGTATTGAGAGAAGAGTGATGCCCCTGTAGTTATCACACTTGCTGAGATCACCTTCGGTATTTTGATCAGAAGTCCTTCTTTCCAGTCTGTTGGTACTTGTCCCTCATCCCAAATCTTATTGAAGAGAATGTGGAGTATCCGTGCAGTTGCCGCTACTTCTGCTTTTAGTGCCTCTGCTGGGATGTTGTCCGGTCCTGCTGCTTTGCCACTCTTGATTTGTCTGATGGCCATGCTGATTTCTTCAATTGTTGGTGGGCCAACATCGATTGTAAGGTCCGTGGGTGCTGCTTCGATGTTGGGTGGGTTCAGTGGAGCTGGTCGATTCAAGAGTTCATTGAAGTGTTCTACCCACCTGTTTCGTTGCTCTTCAATGTTGGTGATTACCTCACCTTCCTTACTTCTCACTGGTCGTTCTGGTTTGCGGCGATTTCCAGAGAGTTTCTTTGTCGTGTCATACAATTGTCTCATGTTTCCTTCTCTTTCAGCCTTTTCCGCCGTCGTTGCTAAATCTTCCACATATTTACGTTTGTCGGTCCTGATGCTCCTCTTCACTTGTTTGTTTATTCCCGTGTATTCAGCTTGTGCCTTGGCTTTTTCTGCTCTTGTTCGGCTGGTATCGATTGCTGCCTTCTTGTTCCTCCTTTCTAGAATCTTATCCAGTGTACCAACAGTGATCCATTCCTTGTGGTGGTGCTTCTTGTGACCCAGGACCTCATGACATGTTGAAGTGATTGCCTCTTTGATCCCCTTCCAGTTGCTCTCCACAGTAGTTCCTTCTCCATTGAGTAGATCATGAAAGGCCTGGAACTTGTTGCTGAGGACTATCTTGAATTTGTTGAGTTTGTTAGTATCCTGGAGAAAGGCCGTATTGAACTTTTGTGATACTGTCTGCCCCGTTGTGCAGTGCTTCTTGAGTTTCAATTTCATCTTGGCGACCAGTAAGTGATGATCTGATGCTATATCAGCTCCTCTCTTGGTTCTCACGTCCTCTACAGTCCTCCTGAACGTTTTGTTGATGCAAATATGGTCGATTTGGTTTTGTGTAGAGTGATCCGGTGAAGTCCATGTGGTTTTGTGTATGCGTTTATGTGGTAATATGGTGCCGCCTATGACCAGTTTATTGAAGGCACATAGGTTTGCAAATCTCTCACCATTTTCGTTCCTTTCTCCCAGTTCGTGTCGTCCCATGATGTCTTCATATCCAGTGTTGTCCGTTCCAACCTTGGCATTGAAATCTCCCATCAGAATGGTCAGGTCCTTTGTTGGGCACTTCTCGATGATTGACTGCAGCCTATTGTAGAATTGATCTTTAGCGTCTTCATTGTGGTCGTTGGTAGGCGCATAGCATTGGATGATGTTCATTGAAATGCCCTCTTTCTTTGTTTTGAAGGAGGCTTTGATGATCCTTGGTCCATGAGATTCCCATCCTATAAGCGCATTTTGCGCTTGTTTGAACAGCATCAATGCAACTCCTTGTGTATGTGGAGCATTTTCTTCTTCATGGCCGGAGTATAACAGGAGCTCTCCTGTAGTTAGTCGTTGTTGTCCAACTTGTGTCCAATGTGTTTCACTGATCCCAAGTACCTCTAGGTTGTATCTTCTCATTTCTGCAGCAATCTGGAAGGCTCTTCCGGTGTCCCACATTGTACGAACATTCCATGTACCTAAATAAATGGTTGCTCTGGTTGTCAGAAGGGGCATCGGCCTCGTAACTTCCGAAGGGATTCGGCTTTCATCATGAGGCGTCATAATTCTTCTAAGTGAAGATCTTCTGACTCCCAGGGCAGAGTTTAAAAGGTTTGAATAATTTTTTCTGGTTAGCGTTTTTTTAGCGAGTTAGTTTTCTACGGGATGGGGACGCTAACCCCATGCCCAACCCTCCTCCTTTATCCGGGCTTGGGACCGGCAGTAGCCCCCGGAGGGACTCCAGGCGGAGTTGTACAATATTCTGAGTCATTGTGTCACTTGATGATGATAGGCTGAAAAATATTGTGAGAAGTAACTTGACTTAAGTTTTCTGATGAGTGTCTCAACTCATGCTACTTCCAACATCAAATTATAAAATCTTTATGCCCATGTAAAAACTTCCACCTTCGCTTAAAAATCTTCGACGCATCACAAAATTGCGTATAGAATCAACAAAGTTACTGACAACATTTGAGAACAGAAAACAGTCTTTGGTAATTTAGTCTACGGTCTAAATATCGTACGTCGCATAAAACTTATCGACTTTATCCAAGGACTACAAAGCAAAATATGCGAGAATTTCTACTTAGTTTGTCACTGAGTAAAAGGAACACTCATGCGATGGTTTTTCGGAAAGCCCCGAGGACTTTCTCTATAATCTATCAGCATCGCGCGTTGTGGTGATCGATGTTCAGGCATACGTAACACGTGGCCCAACCATCTCAGTCGATGAAGATTCACAACATCATCAACTGATTTACCATCATTCCGGAATATCCTGGCATTGTTGCTGAGTGCTACCAAAAGACACTGCATTTTATCAGCGTCTTCACCAAACAGGACCATATCATCTGCGTATTCTAAGTCGATAAGTGGACCTCCTGGTAGGAGATCAATGGCCGAAAATTCAGTCGACGAAAATGTTATTTCTATGATGAAATTAAGCAAAGATGGAGAAAGTGGACAGCCTTGATGGACATCACTTGAGGTTGCAAAAGCAGATGACAGTTCGCCATAATCTCTGACTCGACTGGTAGTGTTCGAGTAGCGAGCCTTCAAAAGGTTTATGTACTTCTGTGGTACGTCTTTCAATGACAGACACTCCTACAGAATTTCGCGGTCTACCGAGTCACATGCTGTTTTAAGTCAGGGAAGACCACCATTGTTGGGCGTCAATAAACATGCTTGTGTTCTAAGATCTGACGAATGGTGAATATGTGGTCGGTGCAGCCACGACCAGGTCTGAAGCCAGCCTGATTTTCTCGTGTTTTCAGTTCACGAGTCCTTGTTAAGCACCCGATAATTATTAAGGCTAGTATTTTAGATGCTATGGTGGTCAAACCAATCCCTATATGGTTATCACAGGATGATTTTGACCCTTTCTTATATATTGGGACAATCAGTGATTGTGACCAGTCAGGTGGGATTACGTCCAACTCTCAGATTTTAGCTAAAATATTAGTTAACCTAATCGCTTAAACTGGACCACCGTCCTTTAAGACCTCTGGAGCCAATCCATCTGGACCAGTTGTTTCAGATTAGCTACAGCTTTTTGAACTTCAACTAGAGTCGGGGGGACCTACTTCAATGTTCCATTCACTTCAAACGACGAAAATGCGTCCCTATCCTTCCAAGTTCTTACGGAGCCGAACAGCATATACGCGACTGTTAACGGAGACGCATTTCACTAGTGCTTATTCTGTCCTCGTACTTTGTGCTATGCCTTCATCCACCAGTCCACGAGAACTAGCCATCGGGTAGCTAGATAAACGAAAGGTGTATCTCGTCAGCTTCCCGTTTTGGCGAGGTGAAGTCAAGCGAATGACCACACTAAGATCCTGTGTTTCGGAAACACAGCATACATCAATGGTACGAAATTCTATGGTCTTAGTCAAGGAGACCAAAATTCATGTCCAGCCTGAACACCAGGAATAAAAGAACCATTGTTTTCTGCCAAATATTAATTTGATCAGTCGCTCTATACGAAACAACTATGCGAAATCTTACCTTTAATGACTCTCCAACACAAAAGAGAATAACTTCAAAATAACAAAAGTTGTATCAATTTAATCCGGTTATTCATTTACTCTGAAGAAGTGGCTTACATTAAGTCATGAAACGTCGGAAATACAATTTTCTAATCACTGGGATACAACAACAAAATATATTGAATACCAGATTTCTACTCAATGCCCAATTTAACTGGAACCATCAAATACAACCTTGGTATTGATACCTACAAACAGTAGTCAAGGTTTCAGTTTGATGAAAGGGATTTCGAATATCATACAAACGTTGATATCAAACTCAATATTCATTGTTTTTTCAAAGTCTGTTTGAACAAAAATGAACCGATTTTTCAAATTAACCATCACTTTTGGTAAATAATGATTACTTGTTGAGTTATCGATTCAACAAAAATATTTGATGTCATCTAATAAGAGATTATTATTACGGAAAAATCATGAGAAGTGTGTAGAGATCGTTCAGTTTGCAGGTAGATTACACAATTGGCTAAAGTTAGTTGGACAATTATTGGAAAACAGAAGAACAGTCATTTCGTCTTAATGTGACCTCCTCAGCAGCGCCTAATGACGACAGTACGTGATATCGAAGGTACGATCCCCCGACGAGTGTATTAAGACCACTAAATTGACATATATTGGTTCATTCCAAAAGATTTATTCACCGGAGCAGAAAAAGTTATTAATATTTCATGAATTCAAACAGCCTATGCTATGCTGTAGCCGCACCACTCAAAGTCACCGTTTGGTAACTCCCTCAATCACTCTCGAATCAATCGACACTATCTGATATGATTTCGCATTGGAACATAAAAAGTGGACGCATAGGATTGCATACTCTAAAGATAGTGTCAGATTATCCATTAATAAAAAGCTAAAGAATCTATTTATTACTGCATATTTTCATAGCAACCACCAATTTACATTAGAACGTAACAATACAGAAACACATAATAGAAAAATGTTATATTTCCTTAGTAACCACAGTGGTTATGACGATGATTATTTTTTGAACGGTATTAACGGCATGAAAGTGAAAACGACAAACTAACAAACGGACAATAAAAATGCGTCGGGCAACAACAATAAATATAAAAAGATAGAAAATCCGAAAATGGTGGGAAACAGAGAAAATAAAACATTTTATAAACCCATATGCATTTGTGATTATTATTACTATCATTGTTTATCGTGTAAGCAATGAAAAGAATTTCATGTACCTAACAAACAATGTTCATTCACAGGTGGAAACATAATAACAACAATAATATCGATATACAGTAAAGAAGAAATGAACGGTGCCAGAAACTGGAGGAAACGATAAAAACATTCGACGGTGCATAACTGTTCGTATAATACGAAGAATACATTTTTTGTAAAAGTAAGATAAACCGTAATCCAATCTACAATAAAGAAAAGAGGATAACAGACAATATGTTTCAGTGAAATATTCATAGAAATTATTTTGGTTAGTATGATTAGTAAGATAGAAATGGTCGCTTGAAAGTAAAAAGCACGGCAAGGCGGACAAGTAGTGTTTTGAGAGCTCTCTGTACGATTCGGATCCGCATCTCCCGACTTCAAAGTCTGAGCAATACGAGCAGCAACTGACCTCTCGCTTAAGAAGAAGTGAAATATTTATAATTGATTGGTTACTGTCTTAGTGGTCAATGTCTTGTTAGTTAGCTGAGTTTTTTCGACCATGGGAATTCCTGTTCTTTTCTTTTTTGTCTTTCTATACTTGGCGACAAACTCATTTCGCAAACACTTTTCAACCAAGGTAATTCTTTTTGAATTTTTTTCTTTTGAGAATGGTTTCCGTGAACAACTGTATACCGTTCTAACTAGTCTGTCGAATTTCTTGTTTTAGATATGGTTTTAGCTTGTTAACTAAGTATATAGACTCATATATTTCTATAGAAGGTTTAAAATCTTACACGAATGTTCATAATGAAAAACTTAGGCGTAAATAACGCCTACAACATTTTATATTCAAGAAAAAATGTTTAAGCAATAGCACTGGTCATATAAATGGTATGAACTAAAATAAAAATATATATGGTAGGTGAAGTGGAGTTAAAAGATCGAATCACTACGTAAAAATAATAAATTCAACTCATTCACGAGGTACTTAGGACATAGTGATAATCACTAGTTGCTCAACCTCAAGTAGGTAGAGCGATGTTCGAATACGGAATTTAGTGGCTGCAAGTCGAACCTCTCAACCACTAAGCCACCACGAGTCCAACACTACTGTTAGCGCTCAAGAAAAAATAATTCACCCACAGAATTAAACTACTCATAAGAATAAAATGACATCACTCAAATAATTAAGGTTCCAAAATTAATAGTCAGTGACTCACCTAATATTATTATTCAGCATGCACTCGAAGACGTCGCCCTTCAAATATTTTACCGTCAAAAGCATCTATTTAAAAAAAAATAGAACACATTCAAGAGAAAGTGGGACGTTGAGTTTCTCTACCTCATTGTCGTTTATTCTACTGAGTGATTAATGTGCTGGCAATAACCACCAAAATATTCTTTTCATTTCCTCTTATGAATCATCACTCTATTACCAACCGGTGTGTTAATATTTTAGTACTTTTCCCTGTTATGTTTTCCAAGGTTAATAATAACAAACTATGCATAGAAATAATTAGTACAATACAAATGCATTTTGTAGAAACAGTAAAAGTCTTGGCCCGGAAGATTAGTCTTTATTTCCAGAACGACATCGATAGCAAAGTTGAAGAGTAATGGTGAGATTGGGCAAAATTGTCTAACCCACTATTTGGATGGAACAATGGAGAGAGGTGGTTGTATGGCTTCACTCTGCCTGAGATGTTTGCATATAGGACTTTTAAGATGTTAATAAACTTCTTAGGAACACACTTCTTCAACAGACAATCCCAGAGAACAGTCCTGTCTAACGAATCGAAGGCAGCCCTAATGTCAATAAACACTAAGATTGTTGACCTGTGATAAGTATGACGGTGTTCCAGCATTTGGTGGAGGGTGAAGAAATGATCAATACATCCACGACCAGAGCCAGATGATGAAGCTACATTGTTCACCCTAAGATTTTCGACTGTTTTGAAAATGATCGGCTTTTATTTAGTTTCCTCAAACCACAAGTCAAGATAACTCCGCCTGGAGACCCTTCGGGAGCTACTCCAGGTCGCAAGCCCGGAAAAGTGGGAGGGTTGGGCATGGGGTTAGCGACCCCATCGCGTAAAAAACTAACTCGATAAAAAACCAGAAAAAAAATATCCGAACCATTTAAAATCTGTCCTGGGAGTCAGATGGTTTTCATTTAGAAGAGTTATGAAGCCTCATAGTGAAAGCCCAGTTCCCTCGGAAGTCACGAGGCTGAAGCCCCTTCTGACAACCAGAGCAACCATTTATTTAGGTACATGGAATGTTCGTACAATGTGGGACACCTGGAGTGCCTTCCAAATTGCTGCAGAAATGAGAAGATACAACCTAGAGGTACTTGGGATCAGTGAAACACATTGGACACAAGTTGGACAACAACGACTAACTTCAGGAGAACTTCTGTTATACTCCGGCCATGAAGAAGAAAATGCTCCACATACACAAGGAGTTGCATTGATGCTATCCAAACAAGCACAACATGCACTTATAAGATGAGGACCATCAAAGCCTCCTTCAAAACAAAGAAAGAGGGCATTTCAATGAACATCATCCAATGCTATGCGCCTACCAACGACCACAATGAAGACGTTAAGGATCAATTCTACAATAGGCTGCAGTCAATCATCGAGAAGTGCCCAACAAAGGACCTGACCATTCTGATGGGAGATTTCAATGCCAAGGTTGGAACGGACAACACTGGGTATGAAGACATCATGGGACGACATGGACTGGGAGAAAGAAACAGAAATGGTGAGAGATTTGCAAACCTATGTGCCTTCAATAAACTGGTCATAGGCGGCACCATATTACCACATAAACGCATACACAAAACCACATGGACTTCACCGGATCACACTACACAAAACCAAATCGACCACATCTGCATCAACAAAAAGTTCAGGAGGGCGATGGAAGACGTGAGAACCAAGAGAGGAGCTGATATAGCATCAGACCATCAATTGCTGATCGCCAAGATGAAATTGAAACTCAAGAAGCACTGCACAACGTGGCGGACAACATCACAGAAGTTCAATACGGCCTTTCTTCAGGATACTAACAAACTCAACAAATTTAAGATAGTCCTCAGCAATATGTTTCAGGCCTTTCATGATCTACTCAATGGAGAGGGAACTACTATAGAGAGCAGTTGGAAAGGTATAAAGGGGGCAAACACTTCAACATGTCATGAGGTCCTGGGCCACAAGAAGCACCATCACAAGGAATGGATCACTGTTGATACACTGGATAAGATTCTAGAAAGGAGGAACAAGAAGGCAGCAATCAATACCAGCCGACCAAGAGCAGAAAAAGCCAAGGCACAAGCTGAATACACAGAAGTAGACAAACAAGTGAAGAGGAGCATCAGGACCGACAAACGTAAATATGTGGAAGATTTAGCAACGACGGCGGAAAAGGCTGCGAGAGAAGGAAACATGAGACAACTGTATGACATAACAAAGAAACTCTCTGGAAATCGCCGCAAACCAGAACGACCAGTGAAAAGTAAGGAAGGTGAGGTAATCACCAACATTGAAGAGCAACGAAACAGGTGGGTAGAACACTTCAATGAACTCTTGAATCGACCAGCTCCACTGAACCCACCCAACATCGAAGCAGCACCCACGGACCTTACAATCGATGTTGGCCCACCAACAATTGAAGAGATAAGCATGGCCATCAGGTAAATCAATAGCGGTGAAGCAGCAGGACCAGACAACATTCCAGCAGAGGCACTAAAAGCAGAAGTAGTGGTAACTGTAAAGATACTCCACATTCTATTCAGCAAAATTTGGGATGAGGAACAAGTACCAACAGACTGGAAAGAAGGACTTCTGATCAAAATACCGAAGGTGATCTCAGCAAGTGTGATAACTACAGGGGCATCACTCTTCTCTCAATACCGGGAAAAGTCTTCAACAGGATATTGTTAAACAGGATGAAGGACTCCGTAGACGCTCAACTTCGAGACCAACAGGCAGGATTCCATAAGGATAGATCGTGTACATAATAAATCACAACTCTACGGATCATTGTGGAACAATCAATTGGATAGAATTCATCACTCTACATCAACTTCATTGACTACGAGAAGGCATTTGATAGCATGGACAGAACAACACTACGGAAGCTTCTTCGACACTATGGTGTGCCTCAGAAAATCGTCAATATCATGCAGAATTCCTATGGTGGATCAAACTGCAACGCCACGCATGGAGGACAGCTCATAGATTCGTTTGAAGTAAACGCCGGTGTCAGGCAAGGTTGCTTACTCTCACCCTTTCTCTTTCTCCTGCTGATCGACTGGATCATGAAGACGTCAACATCTGAAGGGAAACACGGGATACAGTGGACATCTAGGATGCAGTTAGACGATCTAGACTTCGCAGATGATCTGGCTCTCCTATCGCACACGCAACAACAAATGCAGAAGACGAACAGTGTAGCACCAGCCTCAGCATCAGTAGGTCTCAATATACACAAAGGGAAAAGCAGGATTCTCCGATACAACACAGAATGCACCAATTCAATCAAAATTGACGGAGAAGACTTGGAAGATGTAAAAACCTTTACGTATTTGGGCAGCATCATTGATGAACAGGGTGGATCTGATGCAGATGTGAAGGCGCGGATCGGCAAAGCAAGAGCAGCATATTTACAACCGAAGAACATCTGGAACTCAAAGCAACTGTCAACCAACACCAAGGTCAGGATTTTCAATACAAATGTCAAGACAGTTCTACTGTATGGGGCAGAAACCTGGAGAACTACGAAAGCCATCATCCAGAAAATACAGGTGTTTATTAACAATTGTCTACGCAAAATACTTCAGATCCATTGGCCGGACACTATTAGCAACAACGTACTGTGGGAGAGAACAAACCAGATCCCAGTGGAGGAAGAAATCAGGAAGAAGCGCTGGAAGTGGATAGGACACACATTGAGGAAAGCACCCAACTGTGTCACAAGACAAGCCCTCACATGGAATCCTGAAGGTCAAAGGAAAAGAGGAAGACCAAAGAACACATTACGCCGGGAAATGGAGATAGACATGAGAAAAATGAACAAGAATTGGATGGAACTAGAAAAGAAGGCCCAGGACAGAGTGGGTTGACGAATGTTGGTCGGCGGCCTATGTTCCATTGGGAGTAACAGGCGTAAGTAAGTAAGTAAGTAACAAGTCAAGATACTTAGTTGCTTAATGTTGCTACATTAAGTTCCTTTAGTGTGCCAAAACAGACTGAATTTATCAATTACGATAACATGAGAGGAGAATACCTATAAAAAAATACACACAAATGGATGAACATTTACAGTAGCACATTGTTTAAAAACACATAACAGATCAATACACCATTTAAGACACAAAATATGCATAATTAATTTTGCATTCAACAACTAACCTATTGCACGATAAATACCATCAATATCTGCATATGTGATAAATGCGATTCCTTGAGAGTGACCTTGAGAGTCTGTTACCAGATTACAAGTGTTTAGATCTCCAACTTCTCTGAATATTCTTTTCACATCATGTGAATCAAATGAGAATGGAAGCTAAAAATAGATAGTATACACAAGAATTTCTCCCTAAGTGACGCCGAAATATTGTTATTACTGTGACATACTAGTTATTTGGTAACCATTCTTGATAGAAATTAAGCAAATAAACCTTCTATTACAATAATTTAGGTAAGAACAGAAATATTTTACAAATAACCTTAAAATCCGTTTTAATGTGCACGCTTGTGTAATAGTAACTTGATAATAATTGAGTTACACTGACTGTGAGTACACAATATATAACTCTCTTACCAATCAAATATACATTCATATATCTTAGTTATTAAGGCAGGTGATTTGCATTTAATAGGTGCAAACACCCCCCACTGTGCTTGCACTGGTTTGAACAACCGAGTATCCTGTCAATTAACGTTATACACAAAGTATTCGTCTTAAAGCTGGAAACAAAACCTGTACTTGAAAAAAGAATGACGTTAAATAGTTACTAGTACCACACATAATACGTAATAAACAGACAGCCAGATTGTCACTCAATTTCTGAAACATATACTAAGGATTGTGAGTTCAGTCAAATACAAACATTTGATACCCCCAACGCTCTATCAATATGAAAGTTGACAAATGAGTGACTTTTAAAGTAATCAATATTATAGTATAAACTGAGAGAACAAACAACCACAAAGTCAACAAAATAAACCGACTTAAGGCATATGGAATAATCAAAGAAGCTCATTCCTACAAGAAGTAAATACTGATGTTGTCCAGAATGAAAATGAAAACTATATAACTCAGAGAACTCAACAGCACCAAAAGTCTAAAATCTCGCAGATGTTGAGTGAGGGAATCTGTGAACCATAAGACAACTTAGGATCTGGGTACAAATATGCACTGGTTCAAGCTGCCACATATCAAGTTGCGGCAGAGAAGGAGAAAAGGAGATTAAAAAAAGGATGAAAAAATATCGAAGTAATTAAAACATTATGAAAGTAAAGAAACTAAAAGTAGAAAAAATATTGGTAAGTGATATTCAACACACAACAACTCTAGATGGAGTACCATTTTGAAAACCAGAATGTATGAATCTACTTACAATAAATTTCTTAAATTTACATTAAGTCGCAAACTTAAACTAAAAGAAAATCTTACATTTTTCACAACTACTTTTTCAGGTATCTGACGTCGATCATTGTTATGTTGTGGACCATTTTCATCACGTCCTCGGTCAGATGACCTAGAGTAACTTCCACGGCCCGGAAGATTAGGCGACCCTGATTTCATCAGAGAACCGCCAATATTATATGAATCTTGTCTGTTACTCCGAGAATCTACCCGATAATTACCTAATAAATGAAGATTATTATCATCATTAATATTACCAATATTAATCAAAGAATAAATGGAAATATTAATATGATTTAATTGTTTAGATCATGACACACACACACGCACGCACGAAGATACTTGACAAAATTAGCATCTAGAAAAATGTACTTTAGTTATTTGATGTAAAGTCACGTTACTACGTAAAAAGGAAATTTTTAATATTACGTCAAAAAGAAAATAGAAGCATGACAAGCATGCTACTAGGTAAAGCGAACAAATTGTTATATTTAACCAATGCATTATCATTAGAAGGATAAAAACGAGCATATAATACTAGATGAAAACAATTCCACATTCTAATACTCCACCAATTAAGCCATATCCAATACATATACACATACGATTACTGACATTTACACTTAGTTGGACAATTTACTCAAACCGTCCTCACTGAAGTGAACATTAAAAAATTGGAAGTGTCGAATATGATCAGTTTCGATAAGCCTAAATGTATTTTGATTGAATTACGACAAAAATAAATAAACTATGATGCAAATAGATCCATTTGGAAAAATTATTTTAAAAAGAAATAGGTATATAACTGTCATAGAGCTTGGAACGCACCATCAAATCAAACAGTATACTGTGTAGAGAAAGCGAAATGAACATCAGCACTACATTGATGACCATCCAAAAAATCCAAGAACTGCTGTACAAAAGCCTAAAATGACACCGGAACTCTGACTAAAAAATACGGGAGGTATTGTGAGTTCCATCACGGAAAACAAAAAATACCTTCAAAAACTTTGATTTATAATTATTAACGACTATAGAAATACACACAGCTGTAATGGTCACAGATAATATCAATAAAAATACCAGTTAGAACTGTATTGGGAAAACATCAGTGGAGAATAACAGATTTACAAATCAACGAAATCGAACTTATGCAGTACACAACAACACAAGTTCACTCACACAGTCTAGCTCACCTGGAATTTCATACTTTGAACGACCAACATATCCATTGTCAAAATGTGATCTATCAACGCTTCTGTCACCACACCCACCACCATCTCGACCAATAATATTTGAAGCATTCAACTGACCAGACTGATGATCCGAATGAGAATTCTACACACACACACACATATGTATGTATAATATAATATGTGAAGATAAGAGAAGAGTGACACAACTGAACGAACTAACGACACCAGATACTGTATAAGTTGAGTGTATATTTTAAAAAATCATTTATTTGTCCTGACAACATAATCCACATACAGTATTCCCCAGGATAATTAACAAACACTTTTCTTGTCTCTAATCCAACCACTTTAAATACATGCAACTACTCGAAATACATACTGATAATAAGTGTTAGAAAATAGACAAACTAAACAATATAAATCTTTGATTTGAAAACCGAAACTTACTGGATAAACTTGTTGAATGTTTTAAGGATAAGATGACTATTCTAAGAGAAGAATGACATCAACTACATACATACGCACATGTGAATCCTCCCTTTTTCCAAACCTACTAAAGTCGAGAAGTTTTAAGAACACAAAACGAATAATTCTGTTCGCGTAGCCAACTCCAGTCTTGAAAAAAAAATGATCTAATCACTGTAGAATAGTAGTCAATCATTAAGAAATCAAAATAATGAATTATTTGTTTACTTCAAAATTTATGGAATAGTTTTTCTTTTGTCTGAACCCAGAAATCTGTAAGACTATCAAAAAATGTCTATCATCTCCTTGATTTCAATGATAGAATTCAACAAATTGGACAGAATCACTTGATATCAATCATTGAGAAAACGGATAAATTAGTCCTCTAGTTAGTAATCATTAAAATCTTGATAGCCACAAAACAACACTCGAACAAAAAATACACACACAGACTAAATTCAACAAAAGAGCGCCAGAAGCTTTAAACAACGAATGCATAAATACATTTTTAAAAAAATAATTAGCCCCGAAAACAGAAATGAGTAGTACTACCTACAGGTGTAACTGTGTGTAAAAGTAAGAATCTGCTCACAACTATATCAATAACTCCCATAAGAGCTAATAAAAAAATAAACATCTAATGAAAATAAGTGGAATGTCCAATAAATGAGTTACTTATAAAAGCGTATGCAAAATTTAGGCTTCATCAATCGCCTTCAAAATGTCCCCTATTAGCTGTAACATCCGTGAGACGATACCCTAGGGGGCCGTCCGGTGGATGTAGAGAATAATCTGGCTTAGTGTTCGAATTAAAGACCATAAACAACAATCAACACTAACGTGTAGGTAGATTATCATATGTTTATTGGATAGACAATATGCTCATAGTAAAATTAAGACACTTCACTGATTAGTAACCCAACCGTTGCTACTACCCTGACGTGGTAGTTGGGCTTGGCTATCGTGATGAATCGACCGGGCTATACTGCCTGGAACAATTGTTTCTCAAGGTCCTACCATGCCAGGTAGGTCGGCTGAAGAGCGGTAAGACTAAAAGCAGCATGTCCAAGGTCCGAGGGTGAAGTCGTGATGCTGATTAGAGGTGTGGTGGCAACAAGGGGATTCCTTCGGACAACCAGCCTTGCCACAAAGAAAGATGGGGTTTTTGTGCATGCACCTGGAAAGGAAATTGGGTTCGAGGTGGTCTTAGTGACTTGAGAGCATGACCTTAGTCCCAAAGGGACAACTGCTTGAGGCCTGTCACACATGACCTTTTTGTCAGTAATTTTTGTCAATTGTGTACTTGTTGGGACCTTACCGCCGGAGACGGGAATCCGTGGGATAAGGTGAGGTGATTAATAAGTGAATGAAGGTATAGAAAAATTAAAAAGGTTTGAGGAGATACCAAGACTCAGATTCTAAAAGACAAGGAAAGAATGCACCTCTGCTGCTGCGAACAATTCTGAATCATAGCAATTAGTCTTCTAATTCAAAAACTTCGTGGAATAGTTTGCGTATTTATTGGACAAACTGCACTATTTTTGAGAGAATTCGTAGATATGTATACATACCTGGAATAAACCTAGAGTCGATAATACAGAGGTTATTTGTGTCTGGGACATTCCACCAGCGACAGCTGCTGAAATTAATTGTTGTAATCCATCTTGAGGGAGTTGACCTGAGTAGGATCGATTGATTCCTGAACCTTAAACAAACATGAAAAATTAGATAAGTGAAGATTTGAACAACGACAACACTATTAGGAACTAACAATTTAAGTTTCATAGGGTTTAAAAGTGGAACATAGAAATAAATACTTGATCTACCACACATACAACTTGACGATAATATTGCACTACAAAGCAATCATAACCTTAGAAAGTAAATATAGATAAGTTTGAATCTGTTAGTCATTTCCGGATATACAAGATTTTGAGAAGTTGAGAATTGTCATTAGACAGTGGGCAAATTCACTGCTGTTTCTTACCCTGATGACAACTGGTACCGATCCTGATCGATGTGCATGCATCCTTCAATTGTTCAAATTTTGTGGGTTGAGAACAATGATATAACTGAAAAATGAAATGAGGTTAAGCATCCGCGCGAGAACAAAGGTCCTGAGTTCGAGTGCCGTGTACGGATCTGCCGAGGAGTTCCATATTAGGATGAAACGACCATCTAGTGCTTCCAGGCTTTCGATGGTGGTCTAACACTGACAGGTTCATGATCTCAATTGAAAACGATTTTTCTTTAAATTTCGCATTTTGACAGACTAAATATAGGTTGAGGGCAGTATACCTGATGGAAAATAAGTGAGACCTTAAATTTGCATATAATTCTAAATAATAAAATGTAAAACTAACACATAATGTTTGTAAGTCTTAGAAATAGCACAGAACATAAATGTAGTTTACAAGAAACATACTTGGTGAAGCATCTGGGATTGATGACAATGACTGACCAGTAAAGTTGGAAGAGTTATTAGATGATCCAGTAGTTGCCAAAGTATTCAGACCCCCAGAAAGATTTGCATTTGACGCCAAATTACGAAGAACTTCAATTATGCCACTCTGAGGATTTGTATCGGCATTTGTTTTCAAACCAAGTAAAGTCACAAGAGCAGCAATAATATTTGAAGATTGTTGTTGGTCAGTCAGGATAGGATTGGAGGGGATCATTGAACCAGTGGAACCCAGAATTCCAGATGAGCCAGTTCGTTGTTGTGGGGGATAAACTATGTTCATTGAAGCAGGAGTACCCTGGCGATCAATCTTTACACGCATTGGTCTGTCTTTTAATATCTAGCGCAAAAAGTATTATGAATTTAATCTCTTCATACACCACGAAGCAACAAATGTGAAGATAGTATATAAGTGTCAGGAATTACGAACGAAAAGAAAAAACTGTACAGCCAAACTTCCAGAAGCATTTTATCAACAATGCAATAACGAAATATCTGATGATAGACAATGCTATCGAAAAACCCAGAAAGCGGTATACAGTCACTTTAAAACATGTTAATGGAAGGCTAACGTATGCGAAGCATCATCCATGGGTTGGTGCACTGTATCAACCAAGACCTCACGTTAATCGACAAGGATATTGCAGCCAAATATCAATGATTCACCAATACTAAACATGACGTTACTTTGACCCAATCTGGAAGACGTGGTCTGAAATTGCACATTGGCTTCAGTTCAGGTAAGAAACCTTCGAGATTTTCCATTCTTGTAATTCAACCAGAAGAGACGAAAAATCTTTTATCCATATGCTGGTGTTGAGGTATATGATATTTCTATAGACCACTTCCAATTATTCGAATCAACTTGAAAAGTTGGAACTTTCTATACCCGTCACATTTTCTCCGATACAAGGTTATGGATACTTATTTAATTTTAAAAACTAACTCACTAAACACAAACACATACCTGGTTGTTAAACATATTGACGGCTTGGACTGCTTCATACGCATTCGAAAATTTTAATATGCCAACACCACGAGAATTGCCTTCTGAGTCTGTTTTTATAACCGAGCTGAGAATTTTCCCAGCCGATTTGAAGACATCTTTAAGCTTCTGCCACGTTACACTATAGTCAAGCTAAAAGTAATGACACAAATTTGAGACATAACCTACATTACTGACGTACACAGAATCAGTGATTGGCCCGTCCATACCGACTTGACCTAAGATTTGAGGAGTGAAAACAGGTCCTGCTGCTGCCATATTTACAGACTCGTTGGGATTTCCAGAATCACTTAGAAGCCCTCCGTCAACTTCCATTGATGCAAAGCGAGCAGCATCACGAGCAGTCTCTTGTCGAACAACCAATTTTCTGTCTCCAACTTCAAAACGATGCATCATCTCAATAGCTTTTTGTGCTCCTTCGAGTGTCTTAAACTCCATCAAACTTTACAGTAATAAAAGTTAATAAGACAAGATATGACTCCTTACCCCATACCGTTTGGTTTTCCATTTTTTTTAAACAACTGTAGAAAGCCAGTAAACCCGACTACTTTGTAACATCAAAATATCCCAGCTTACTTTGTTCTCTAAACAACTCCTTCAGCTTTTGCCAATTTAAATCATATGGGATGTTTGCAATGACTATGCGTTTCGATCTCACTCGACTTTGTTGAGGAGAACGACTTCTTGATCTCCTTTTGATAGGTGAACGATGCCTCGTAGAACTTTGGTCGTCTTGACTTCTGTGTTTTTATCTTTAAGAGACAATGACTAACCTTTCACCTGAAAAAGTACTCATGGATGCCAACGGACACTAGATCGAGTAGAGCAGGAACGCCGAGTACAGACAAACAGAACCAAATTGACCGCTTCACTTTCAACATCATTCGTAGAAAAGTATATATGTAATATGTGCATATTTAATTGCTTCATAGATCTGAGAAAACACAATAAGTGGATAGGAATCCCGTAAGTCGTGCTCCTAGACTTTCTGATGTAGTGAATGATATCAGTGGCGCCTTTCACTGATGTTCCTGTCTTTTCTTTGGGACTCCATTACATCTAAACAGTAAACAAACCCTCGCTGGAATAATTATCACTCTTCCTGCACCACGAGACCCGAATTTTCATGGAGAATACTCAGTGAGTTCCTCAGTTTAGATGGGTAGCATATCCTTTATATTTCAATGTGTATTATCAAAGTTGTCACATTACTAACTATACTATTCTGGGAAAATCAGGAAACTTTCATTTCCTAAACTACATCAATCATATCAGTACCAATTAAGTGTTACGAATCTGACCATTGATATGACGAGTTCCAAATCGTAAGTATGGTACAATATGATAAAATGGTGCTATTTCTGCTCACTACATCTATGTGCCAACTAGATGTAGGTAGGACATACGACTAGAGAGCTTGCTTTGAGATGTGATGATGAATAAAATGTCCCGAATAAACTTGCTCGTTTGCATGTGTTGTGCATGGGACCCTGTAAAATACTGATAATTTAGAACTGTTGAAAAACTCGGACGATCTAACAGTCACTACTTTAATCTGTGGACGGCTTGCTACGTTGGTATCAGAAATATCTACTCATAGACATCTACATGTAAGGGCCTTCCAGCGTGTAAACTGATGGTCTATCTTAATAAAAAAAGACGATTCTGAATGTCTACTCTTTACCTACGTCATTGCAGCAACTAAAGTGTGCTTAAGATGTAGTTAATAATGTCATTCTGCAACTAGCACAAAAAAACATTTATTTTAAGAGTTTTTTACACCAGTTACCAGGCGTTACTATTCCCTAGTAACCTGCCCGAATCTGTCCACCTGTTTAATTCTTTCCACAACACAATGTCGTATTAAAATCATATATAGTTATCAGAACAAATATGACCCCCTGAATAGTGTCAGATGCTATCGTGAGAGTATACTAAAATAATATCTGAAGGCGAGATATAATGCAACACATATTTTCAAATTTATAGTTTGATAATTATAAAGACTAATGATTGGCTGACAGCAGATATTATTAGTTTCGCACCGAATCTCTTCATTAGCCCCACTTCCTTTTGAATACATCCGAGAGAAATGTTTTACTCGAGCCGTTCCGATTGTTGGCAGCTCTCTGCAAGCTGATCATTTTTTAATCAGTGTGTGAAAAGTTATAATGCCGTTCTGAAATGTTAGAAAAAGAATCATTTTAATCAGAAATGTTCCGTTACTTTTATGACTATCATATCCTGTAATCCGATTGGCGGGATGAACTGCCCTCTACTGTTTGTGCATCATTTGAAGGTGCAGATACTTCTAAGATACAGTACAATATCTTGACAATATGCTCGTTTGGGTTACTTAACTATAACTACAAGGATTATATAAATTATCCTATCACTATTGCATCTCACAAACAACCTGAATAATGCTCCTCATAAAGTTGAATCACACACCTAAGAAAGCTTGAAGAGAACAGAGGCTCCTAAGTAGTATGTTTGGGACGTTGGTGGCTTTCATGAACTAAGACAATATGAGAAACAAAGCCAGTAGACAAAGACAATATCTTACCTCAAGTGGCAAGGTTTGGTACTGGAACCAGCGAAAACAACGTGATGACTAACCATGAAAAATCAGGAAAGATTTGTTCTATCACACAAAATAAGATGATAATGCATTTCGGAAGTAGAAGGTACACGCCTGTTTTATAGGCATGGTCAATAAATAACATGGGTTTTCAGATAAGATGCTGCCAAAACAACGTTTGTAAATAAATAAAATCGGAAAGAAATGGCGGAACATTCATGCAGATATATCAAAAGTTAATCAACAGGTTTACGAATAAATCTGAGTTCACAGTTGTTGTGATCTGTTTCAAAACGACAACGCGTATAGGCTGTGACCTGAATGAGCTCACGCCTAGGCCGAACTTGACATTCGCGTATTATAAATTGTAGTGCTGCTAAGTATGGTAACTAGTGGATAAAACTCATATCACCTGCCATGAATTGTAGTTAAAGCGCCTACGTAATGCTAAAGCTTATCTTAGTGTTAAATTCTAGCAAAGAATAAATGAACGGTAGCCACTAGAAATTATTGGTGGACTATTAATACATATATTCCTATTGAATAATTGTTAAGTAACTAGATCATACTCTGCTTTTACTTACGCCTGTTACTTACTACGGATCATGAGTATTTATACTCCTTTTATCATAGGCCTTTTTAATTATTGACTATTATTATACGATTTGTTATTCTTAAGTTATTCTCAATTTATTAGTTACAGCCTCTCACAATCACAGCCACTTTTTGACTTGATCTTACGTAATTGTTATTTTCCATTTTATGGTATGATGCTGTATGATTTGCTTGTATATAAACCACGTATGTCTGAAATACATGATTCATATGGCGGGAGCTAATATTGGGCTTCTGGACTGAACCGGCAGTTTTAGGAGAGAAGCTACTATTTCCAAGGACCAGTACGTGTAGTGGTATCAATCATAACCACACAATCCTCAAAAACGAACATGAGATAACCGGGAAAATAAATATTCCACCCTTAACACGAAGAGAAAACCAACAATAGTGAACGCGGGAATATTCATTCAATCAGATGGCATGGCTCAGCCTTACGGACGTGATCATTCTGTATTACTTGTCTTTGCTCGCATTAAATATATATTATTCTATTCTTGGCCTAAATGTGTTCTTGCGAAACTCCAAGCATCATGTTATTAATTGTTACCATACGATGAGTCAGTGTAGACAATAATGTGACTCCCACGTAAGATAATATAGATTAAGCAACTACATTATGACAAATCTGCAATTTTGGTATTGGGCCAATTATTAGAGCATTACTAGTAACTAACGTAGACCATAGTTCTATATAAGAACTCAGAATTGACTCTAGGCTGTTCGTACTGGCTTATGCGTCATTGGTCTGATCAGTAGGTCGATGTTTTAATCAGTGATCTTATCACTTGATGATTAACATACCTTAAAAATATAACGCTTCGCACGTTACAGTAGAGCCAACATAAGACTGGAAACCTGAGTCTGAGCAGAGAGCAAAGGAGAACAACCCCAGTATCACTGACTAGCTTTCCACTCTTTAATCGTAAAGAGCCTGGAGCAAACACATGTTCTGTCCCAAAAAACGGGTGGATTGAAGTCATTGACCTCACTATCAATGCATGTTGGTCAGTAACTTCACTTTAACTCTGCCTATAGCCTCTCCAGGGGCTTCTCCAGGTCTCAAGCCCGGAAAAGGGGGAGGGTTGGGCATGCGGTTAGCGACCCCATCGCGTAAAAAACTAACTCGATAAAAAACCAGAAAAAAATATCCGAACCATTTAAAATCTGTCCTGGGAGTCAGATGGTTTTCATTTAGAAGAGTTATGAAGCCTCATAGTGAAAGCCCAGTTCCCTCGGAAGTCACGAGGCTGAAGCCCCTTCTGACAACCAGAGCAACCATTTATTTAGGTACATGGAATGTTCGTACAATGTGGGACACCTGGAGTGCCTTCCAAATTGCTGCAGAAATGAGAAGATACAACCTAGAGGTACTTGGGATCAGTGAAACACATTGGACACAAGTTGGACAACAACGACTAACTTCAGGAGAACTTCTGTTATACTCCGGCCATGAAGAAGAAAATGCTCCACATACACAAGGAGTTGCATTGATGCTATCCAAACAAGCACAACATGCACTTATAAGATGAGGACCATCAAAGCCTCCTTCAAAACAAAGAAAGAGGGTATTACAATGAACATCATCCAATGCTATGCGCCTACCAACGACCACAATGAAGACGCTAAGGATCAATTCTACAATAGGCTGCAGTCAATCATCGAGAAGTGCCCAACAAAGGACCTGACCATTCTGATGGGAGATTTCAATGCCAAGGTTGGAACGGACAACACTGGGTATGAAGACATCATGGGACGACATGGACTGGGAGAAAGAAACAGAAATGGTGAGAGATTTGCAAACCTATGTGCCTTCAATAAACTGGTCATAGGCGGCACCATATTACCACATAAACGCATACACAAAACCACATGGACTTCACCGGATCACACTACACAAAACCAAATCGACCACATCTGCATCAACAAAAAGTTCAGGAGGGCGATGGAAGACGTGAGAACCAAGAGAGGAGCTGATATAGCATCAGACCATCAATTGCTGATCGCCAAGATGAAATTGAAACTCAAGAAGCACTGCACAACGTGGCGGACAACATCACAGAAGTTCAATACGGCCTTTCTTCAGGATACTAACAAACTCAACAAATTTAAGATAGTCCTCAGCAATATGTTTCAGGCCTTTCATGATCTACTCAATGGAGAGGGAACTACTATAGAGAGCAGTTGGAAAGGTATAAAGGGGGCAAACACTTCAACATGTCATGAGGTCCTGGGCCACAAGAAGCACCATCACAAGGAATGGATCACTGTTGATACACTGGATAAGATTCTAGAAAGGAGGAACAAGAAGGCAGCAATCGATACCAGCCGAACAAGAGCAGAAAAAGCCAAGGCACAAGCTGAATACACGGGAATAAACAAACAAGTGAAGAGGAGCATCAGGACCGACAAACGTAAATATGTGGAAGATTTAGCAACGACGGCGGAAAAGGCTGCGAGAGAAGGAAACATGAGACAACTGTATGACATAACAAAGAAACTCTCTGGAAATCGCCGCAAACCAGAACGACCAGTGAAAAGTAAGGAAGGTGAGGTAATCACCAACATTGAAGAGCAACGAAACAGGTGGGTAGAACACTTCAATGAACTCTTGAATCGACCAGCTCC